CATCAATCTTGACACTAACTAGCAAAATTAGCTCTGTATACACCCTGTACAGAGCCTGCATAACCGAGTCTCATATATACATGTAACTCAAAGTGTTCTGAGATGTATACTGCCATTTAAAAATCTCAGTAAACTGTGGTATAAACTGCCATAAACTCACATCAAGCTGTGATATATACACTGTATTGAAATCTGTGCTCTAAACTGTGATATATTCATAGACAGAAAAAACAGTGATCAGATGAACTGTATATGTTCATAGACAGAGAATACAGTGATTTGATGAACTGTATAAGTTCTTGACAGAGAATACAGTGATTTGATGCACTGTATAAATTCATAGACATAGAGAATACAGTGATTTGATGCACTGTATAAATTCATTGACAGAGAATACAGTGTGATTTGATATAAATGGCATGTCAGTGATTTGATATAAACGGCATGTCAGTGATTTGATATAAACAGCATGTCAGTGATTTGAAATCTGCCAGTGAATCCTAGCAGGGCAACAATAGGCGAGAGCTGGTCACCGTGGGTGTATGAGGGCCGCGAGCAGGCGTACCCTCCTCTTGCCGGTCTGACGCCCGCGGCTCCTAGAGAGAGCTGATCGTGGTGAGGTGGCCACGTGCGGGAGCTCCTTAGAAGGAGCCGATCGCGGAGAGGCGGCCATGTGCGCGGGTGCCGCCTGGTACTCGTGTCCGATCGCGAGTACCCCGGAAGGCTCACAATGGAGCTTGGGGAATCAGAGGAGGCAGCCAGGAGGCTAGTCTTCAGAAACCCCGAGAGAACCACTTGTTGCCTGCGGTTAGCAAGGGCGGAACAAGTAACAGAAAGGTGTTAGCGAGTGGGGTAGCAGGGGTGGGATGGATAAAAGCAAAGGGACCAAACCGAATAGGTATCTCCAGGAACCCCCAAAAAACAACCACAAAGTCAGCGAAAATCTCACCAAAGAAAGCCAGGGGAAGCAAAGAAAAACCAAAAGGGCACAGTCCCAAAAAAACTAAACATAATAATAAAACATGATGAAAATAAATCAATAAATCCCAAATAACCTAAATAAAGGTAAAATAAATCATAGTAAAACATGATTAATATAAGTAATCAATAAATCCCAAAGCCACCCACTAGAAGCAGGACGCAGTGGTACTCTGACCTGTACTGACTGCAGAGCAGAAAAGAAAGAGGCAATGATGCATGGGGAGGGGAGTTTTATAGTACCTAACTTTTTTCTGATTGGTTGTTTTTCTGTGCTGCTGTGGAGTTCTAGTAAAGAGAGACTTAAGCAAATACGAAGCCTCCTGTCATGTTATAAAATCATAATTTCTAGCCAAGGATAGATGTAAAAAAATCTATTTTCTTTTCTATTACGTGTAATATACATTAGAAATGTGATTTTTGACAATTAAAATATAGCAAGTTGTGTTTGACTCCTGGCAGGGCTGCCATCAGGGGGTGACAGCCATGACGGTTGTCACGGGCCCGACGGTCCTGGGGGGCCCGTACTGCTCCGGCAGTCCCGGGCCCCACTTTCTTTCTCTGCACACATAGATAGCGAATATCGCGATTATGTGTGCAGCCGCGGGCCCCCGGCTCCCTGTTACTACAGAGGGGGCCCAGGCAGCACACTGCTTCTCCTCTTCTCTCTTCTAATAACTCTCATGAGACCCGGTTACCATGGCAATACTCCGCGGGTTTCACGAGAGTTATTAGAAGAGAGGAGAAGAGAAGAAGAGAAGCAGTGTGCTACCTGGGCCCCCGTTGTGGTAACAGGGAGCCGGGGGGCCCCCATGCCACCGGACCACCAGGGATCATGGAATCTCTCCCCTACCTGGACACAGGTAAGCAGGGAGGGTGGAATAACATTTAATTAAATTTAATAAAAAATGAATGTGAAAAATGACGCTATTCAAGTGTTTGTTCTGTGCATCAAAGCACACAGATAAAAAAAAAATTTCAGTGCAGTGGTGGATCCGGGTGGGGAGGGGGGCGCAACGGGGCAATTGCTCCCCCCTTCCCCCAAGAAAACCGAGGGTCTCCCTCTCCCCTGCCATCTTATGCACATTGCACCACTCACACCACTGCTCCTATGCCCTACTACAACCCCATTTCCCAGCAGACCTCAGGTAAGTGGTCAAATTGTTATTAAACGGTTTGACTACTTACTCTGGGAGGGGGTCCCGGCACTATTGACACCATAAACGCTACACTGAGCTGTAGTGGTTATTGTGTCTGGATTATTTCTTTAAATAATCTACAAGTGTCCCTCCCGAGATCAGGCTCTGGATCAGCCACTGTCTCAGCGGCACCTTACTGCGTAACAGAGAAGAGTCTAGTCTGCACCTCTGCTGGGTGCAGGCTGAGAGTATTTCTCTCACAAGCTTTGGCAATTCAGAATGTTTTCACGGCATACCATGGCAATGCTCTGTTGCCACATAGTGCTAGGGCTTGCAAGACAAGCATACTCAGCCTGTATATACTCTCCCAATTGCACACACTAAATCTCATATACACAAAACATTCCATATGTACACACACACACAAGCTACAGGCACAGCCACACATCCTACACACCACAAACAGCCCCTCTACACATATGCATTCCCACAAGGAGCCTCCAAATGCATGCACAATACCACTTGCTGGCTACTTTGCCTTTCTGGCATCCCACTTATGGAGACACCAAAGACAAGTCACCAGCAAAGACACAGCACAATCGTGTCATTAAATTTGCTTGTGCTGCACAAAAGAAACACAATGCCTTTTACCATTAGAAAGCTCTTTAGCGGGTCTCTGCTAACATGCTTGTGGCGGAACCAACCTCGCCACTATGCACTGGAGAAGCTTAGTTGCTCGCCTGCTCCCTTTAGACTATGGCCCTGCAGTTCAGACCTGTTATTTTCCCTGCTGAAAAGTGTATTCGTGCCTTTCTGCCAGGGTGTTCGGTAGATTCAATCTACCGAATGATGGACCACCTGGGAACTGGAGTGTGCCGTCAATTGACCGCCCAGAAGCTGCGGTTAACCGCAGCTTAATTGATGAACGCTGGGTGGCCTTTGTTCGTTGCTGAACACGTGGCAGCGGCCATTTTACCTCCCGAATGGCCAGCGGTGTTCAGCGCCCAAACTATGGAACTGAAAAGGGACACTTATTGGCGCGAACACCGCTGGGCCGCCAGCCTCCTTACCTCTCCATTCGGTAGCGGAACCGAATGACGGTTCATTTGGTAGTTTAACCGGATGAACAGCATCACCCCAGATAGCTAAGCCATGGAGCCTATTAGTGTAACGAAAGACTATGTGAAAGACTTTGGCTCCATGGCGATTGAACTGTATGTATGTGATCTGAGCGCCATTCGGTAGTAATGTGCGCTCAGATCTAAGCTGTCTGGGGATATGTAGAATGTATATGTAATAAATGTAACTGTATGTAATTTTATGTCTTCTACTGTCTTTTTACTGCCATGCAGTTAATGGAGTTTTGCCTCTGTCCTTGGAGATAATTGGATTACTTCCCAATTTTCTCCAGGACAGAGAGGAGGGATTGTGATGCATTGTGAGATTGTAAGCTTGTGATTGGTTAATGTCCAATATGTTTCCCAGTTTCCCATCTGGTCCCCTAGAGGAGTGTCCACCAGGTGGGAGACCTGCATAAAAGCCGGGCAGTTAGCCCCAGTAAACCAGATTCTGCTTGACCCTCAAAACGAAGTGTCGTTTTGGGGGGATTTACTGTATGCTGTTAGAGACTGATTACCAGGAGTGTAAGCCGCTTGGGTGCTTTTCCTGTTCATCTTCCTGTTCATCTGCTAACAGCTGTCTCCAGTTTGGGAGTTTGGAGTGCTACTTGGTATGCAGTTCGGGAGTTTCGAGTATTCCCTTGGTTGCAGTTCGGGAGTTGGTGAATTCGTGGGTTTGCAGTTCGGGAGATTGGTGCTTGCAGTAGCTGTCTGTACATCTGAAAAAGGGGAATATCGCCTAAACGGTTTTTAATCTCTTGTGGGCGAAAACGGTCCGTTATAATGCTCATGTTTACAACAGTGGCGTAAACACGACCCATGGGGCCCCGGTGCGAAAATTAATTAGTGGGCCCCCCACCCCGACCCCTACGACTGCGTTATGTACGTCAGTGCATGCAGATACACATATACTTAAAGGACCACTACAGACACCCAGATCACATCAGATCAATGAAGTGGTCTGGGTGCCAGGTCCCTCTAGTTTTAACCCTGCAGCTGAAAGGTTTCACTGAGGGTTAATCCAGCCTCTAGTGGCTGTCTCACTGACAGCCGCTAGAGGTGCTTCTGCGATTCTCTCTGTGAAAATCCCAGTAAGAAGACGCTGGACGTCCATAGGAAAGCATGGAGTAATGCTTTCCTATGGGCGTTTGAATGCGCGCGTGGCTCTTGCCGCGCATGCGCATTCGGAGCTGAGAGGCGGATCAGGGCGGGGGGATCCCCAGTGCCAAGGGAGTCCAGCGCTGGAGAAAGGTAAGTGCTGAAGGGGTTTTAAACACACACACATGCTCTCACGAACAGACGCATACACACTAGCTAACAGACACACATTTAGTGACAGACATACATACACACTCACTGACAGACATACATACACACTCACTTACAAAACATACACTCTCACTAACAGACACACAAACTAACACACTCAGTAACAGACACACACAGTAACACATTCACTGACACACACACAAAAACTAACACACTCACTAGCAGACACACAGTAACACACACAAAAACTAACACACACACACATGCTAACACACATACGCACTAGCACATTTCTTTTTTAAAATGTAATCCCCCAGCCTCCCTACCTTTGGCAGTGCTGAGGGGATTCCCTGGGGACCAGTGGGGCTGCATGGCGGCCAGTCCTGCGGGCGCGCGAGGGAGCACTCTCCCTGAGCGCTCTCTGCCCAGCTCCCTTACTGATGCCGGAGCCGGAATATGCCATCATATGTGCAAAATTAAAGCGAGCTTGCAGAAGATGACAGAAGGTGTGGAGATAACCCTTACTTGTGACACAATTCCTCGATATCCTACAAACCTGCGAATTGCTTTCTACAGAGATGAAGAGATGGTTCAGGGGTTCAGTTCATCCAATAAGTACCAGGTTCAGTCAGCTCGGCTAGAGGACTCGAGAAATCATACCTGTGAGGTCAGAACATCGAACTACAATGTAAAGAAGAGAAGCAATATGTTACATATCAACATAATAGGTGAGTGGGGCATACAAATATATGCACAGGGTGGGAAAAAATTCAGAGCAAGGTTTGATGAGTCAATAACTTTTTTATTTGTGAACCAATTTCAATGATACTATGTACAATTAATGCTTATCGTATGGAGATTTGTTTGACGAAGTATCAAAGATGACATCTGATAAATTATCTCCATTTGCTACCCCACAAAGTCGGGCTCTTTTGATTGCATTGGTCTTAACATCAATTAATGTTTGAGGTGCATCGAAGAAAAGAAACACAGGAACTCCCAAAGGGGTTTGAAGACTTCCAGGAAGAACGCATTTTTATCTTCAATAAATAACCTGGCAAAAGTTTTAGAACCTCCTGGGTGGATTCTTTGTACTTAAAAGTCAGAGTTCCTTAGACTCACAAACTGCAAATAGCGAGAATGATTCAGATAACAGTTCAAGATTAGGGGGCTCACAAAACGCCAGAATAGGGAGATTTTATGTAACCTCAGAAATGTTTCTTTTTTTAGAACAGGACCCCCATTCACAACCCGTTCCAGAACAACTCAGGGAACAGAGACAATGGGGGGGGTCATGATAAACAAATAGTCAATCTATCAGACTTCAATCTAGAATCAAGACAGATTTCTATTCTTCGATACTACGACAAGGGTTGTGCTTATTTCCAACACAACACTTTGACTGTTTTGACTAGGTTAATGATTTGTATCTCTTTTTCAGAAAGTTGGCCTCCATGGCTACTTCCAAAAGTGATGCGGCAGGGAGGCCCATCATGAAGAATTGATTTCTGTTCATGTTACGTCCTTAACCAACTATGGCAACATTTTATTGTTTGCCAAAAGTCCACAAGGACTTGAAAAAACATCTGGGACAACCAATCGTCTCAGGAAAGGGATGTCTAACTGACAACTGCAGTGTCTTTATGGACAGTATTCTGCATCCCCTAGTTTTCAGGTCCCCATCTGTTTTGCTATGTTCTAGGATGCAAAGAATCATACCAATATGAATAAAATCAATTTTATTCATAGATCAAATATCATTAAAGAATATTTACAAAAGTTAAGACTACATCACCAATTAATACGCAACATTGAAGGCCACTTTATGGGCTGGAAAGCTCTGGTCAGTCTTGGCCAGGAGTAAATTAATTGGTAAATTTCCAGCATATCTGCTCACAGGATAAAGTTTCTGACCAACAAAAATGGAAGTCCTAGCTTTTTAGAATCATACAAAAAGGGTTTCCTCATTTTGTAGTTTCTAAAAAATACAAGGCACCAGTCCACCCCAGAGTGCTGGCCAGGTGGCCCAGAGAGAATCCAAGTTGTGTGAATCTCCTTGCACTTTGTTTGGAAGATTTTGGAACTCTGGGCAGGGTTCCCAGAATATTGCTAAATCATTGGATATTGTGTAATATTTGAACAAAATAGCTTTAAAATGTGATGATCGATATATATCCACACAATTAGCAATACACTATCATACATTCAGGACACCCAATTCACCAGAGAAAAGTTGTCACATCTTAAATGTACTGAGACGGGAGGGACGCGCAAAGCTCTTTCTCTGGCCGCCAGTGAGGTCCACAATTCTTCAGCTGCGCACCTAACTGCTCTTCCACTAACATTGTGTACCTTGCAAATTGATCTTGTGGTAGAAAATATGCAATACCGCAGGAGGATTGTTCAACATGCCAATTCGATTATACGCACCTGGATACACCAATTCTGTGACGTCTTTATAACATTTTCACAATGGTGAAGCCTCAAACCTGTCATTACAGGCGATTGCAAAAAAATCAAGCCTTCCCCAAAGGAGGGGGGTTATTTAAGTTTTAATTCCTTATGAAATTATTACATGTTATTAAAATTCTCATTCCTTTTGAAATTATGAAAAAAAGGAATCCAGATGGAATTATTAATTGAAAACCTTTGCCAATCTTTAATGAATTACAACAATCTATATAGTCTTGTGTAAATCTTAAATGAATAGTTAAAAGTTTTTTATATTATCTTCTAGAACTGTTCTCTCCCCCCAAAATTAAAGTGAGCTTGCAGAAGATGACAGAAGGTGCAGAGATGACCCTGACATGTGACACAATTCCACGATATCCTACAAACCTGCTCTTTGCTTTCTACAGAGATGAAGAGATGGTGCAGGGGTTTGGTTCATCCAATAGGTACCAGGTGCAATCATCTCAGGTGGAGGACTCTGGAAATTATATCTGTGAGGTCAGAACATCAAACAACAACATAAATAAAAGAAGTAATAAATCACATATCAACATAATAGGTGAGTACCTTTTGGAAACTTTTGTTTGGACTGATCATGTTATCTATAAAACTCTGTGTCCATATGGAATGAATTATATCAGCAAAGCTGACATGACTATAAATAAAAACAAACAACGGGCCACCACTCCTACCTTAGGACAGTCTACAGAGATCCGCATTTTCTACAAGATGGACACTAGTTTTCAAGCTCAAAGCGGTGGGTGGGGGCCTTAAATTAGAATAAGGGGGACCTAATGTCCTCCCCCCTGGCCCGCACCCTTGAGCGGTGGGTGGGGCCCTAAATAAAAATTGGGGGAGGGGGCTCAATGTCCTCCCCCCCTGGACCCCACCCCTGAGTGGTGGGTGGGGTCCTAAATTAGAATAAGGGGGAGACCTAATCTCCTCCCCCCTGGCACCCACCCCTGAGCGGCCCTAAATAAAAATTGGGGGGGCCCCCTCCCGAGCCCCCACTCATGACGAGCCAGTGGGGACTTTTAATTTAAAGGGGGGGAACTATTGTCCTCCCGGTCCCCACCCCTGAGCGACGGGTGGGGGCCCTAAAGTAAAATAATGGGGGGGGACCTATTGTCCTCTCCCCCGGTCTCCACCCCTGAGCGGCGGGTGGGGGCCCTAAATACCAATAAGGGGGGGGACCTATTGTCCTCCCCCCTGGCCCCCACCCCTGAGCGGTGGGTGGGAGCACTAAATTAGAATAAGGTGGGGGGACCTATTGTCCTCCCCCTGACCCCCACCCCTGAGCGGTGGGTGGGAGCCATAAATTAGAATAAGGGGGGACCTAATGTTCTCCCCCCTGGCCCCCACACCGAGTGATGGGTTGGGGCCCTAAATTAGAATAAGGTGGGGGGCCTAATGTCCTCCCCCTGGCCCCCACCCCTGAGCGGTGGGTGATGGCCCTAAATAAAAATTGGGGGGGCCTAATGTTCTCCCTCCTGGCCCCCACCCCTGAGCGTTGGGTGGGGGCCCTAAATAAAAATTGGGGGGGACCTAATGTCCTACCCCCTGGCCCCACCCCTGAGCAGTGGGTGGGGGCCCTATATTAGAATAAGGGGGGGGACCTAAATTAAAATAAGGTGGGGTGGGGGACCTAAATTAAAATAAGGTGGGGGGACCTATTGTCCTCCCCCTGGCCCCCACCCCCTGAGCGGTGGAAGGGGGCCCTAAATAAAAAAAATTCAACCGGGGCCGCCATCTCGAGCCCCCACTCGTGACGTGCCAGTGGGGACTTTTAATTTAAAGGGGGGAACTATTGCCCACCCGGCCCCCACCCCTGAGCGGTGGGTGGGGGGCCTAAAGTAAAAAAAGGGGGGAGGACCTATTGTAAAATAATGGGGGGGGGGAACCTATTGTTATTTATTTTTTTAAATGCGTCGGTTATAATGGATTTTTATTTGGCCTTTTTTTTAGCTGAAAAAATAAGATTTTAGAAGAAAGAAAACATCAAATGGTAAGTTTTATTTTATTTTTACAGGTACTTAGTTAAAGGTCCCCCCCTCATTATTTTTAGGGTGAGGGGGGTAGGTAGGAGTTATATTTTTTGGGGGAGGGGGGTGACTAGGGGATTGGGGACCCCTAGTCACCTGGGGGGTTACATTTTTATTTAGGGCCCCCACCCGCCGCTCAGGGGTGGGTGCCAGGGGGAGGACAATAGGTCCCCCCCTAATTGGTATTTAGAGCCCCCACCCACCGCTTAGGGGTGGGGGCCAGGGGGTAGGACATTAGGTGTGTCCCCCCCAATTTTTATTTAGGGCCCCCACCCGCCGCTCAGGTTCCCCCCATTGGTATTAAGGGCCCACACCCACCGCTCAGGTGTGGGGGTCAAGGGGAGGAAATTAGGTCCCCCCCAATTTTTATTTAGGGCCCCCACCCACCACTCACGGGTGCGGGCCAGGGGGGGGACATTAGGTACCCCTTTATTCTAATTTATGGCCCACACTCGCCGCTCATGGGTGAGGGCCAGGTGGGGGCGGGTGGAGGACAATAAGTCCCCCCCTTTTTTGAATTTAGGGCCCCCACCCACCGCTCATGGGTGGGTGCCGGGGGGAGGACAACAGGTCCTCCCTTAGTTTACTTTAGGGCCCCCACCCGCCGTTCAGGGGTGGGGGCTCAGGATGGGGAACCTTTTTTATTTATTTTTAACAGTGAGCAGTCATAGGCTGCTCACTTTTTAATAGATATGCCCCTACTCACGGTATAGCGAGTAAGGGCATAATTTACGAATACTAAGTAATCTTTACTTAGTATTAGTAAATTTGTCTGAAAGACCAATTCAGGTCTTATAGCCTTTTCATTCCTGTCATTACATTGACTGGCTTAGTAACTTAGCCCTTTCCAGGACTTTTTTAGAGCCATTTTAGTGCCCAAAAGTTCGGGTACCCATTGACTACAATGTGGTTCGGGTTCGGGGTCACGATCGGCCGAACCCGGCGAACCCGAACATCCAGGTGTCCTCTCAACTCTACTGCTGTACAATGTTCATTCTCTACCTACTGATGAAACAGAGACCAATTAATACATATCCACCTATAGCCTGGCTTTTATTCCTCCGCCTATCACATTTCTTAACTGTTATATCCTGTACAGGTTTTCTCAATATCTATTATCTTCTTCCTTTGTTCAAACAAGACTGTCCTTTTGGGTTTTGATAAATTCAAAGTTTGAAAGGTATGCCGAAGGCGCGAGGAAGTGTGTTTTTAGCTTTATCAGTACTGGTACTTTTTCACTTGTGTTCAGCAACACTGACATCTTGTGGTCACACTTTTAATTACATTAATACAAATTAGGTTTTACTGTTGAAAATATGGTCAGCGGAATTATATCCCTCTACTAATCCAAGTTGAATCATAAAGTTTAATTTATACTCTTTTCTTTCAGTTTGTCATAGTCTCATAAGCTATTGTCCGGTTAGTCCATCAAATTTTTTAATTTTCTGTGGTATACCTCCATAAACCCATACAAAAATACTGAGAAACTCTCACCACCTCCTACTACTCTCTTAGAAAAGGAAAGATAATGGCATTACTAGTTGGCCTCTTACCTCCTTATCTATTGTGTTTTTTGCAAGGTGTGCTAAGAGTCCCTGATATTATGGTATATAGCACGGTCAGGTTGGGAGGTAAGAATCTCATCATTATGCAATGTGCTTTTGGGACATTTTATTAAAAGAAGGTGCTTCCGTAAAATTCCAAGTTTTCCAGCTGTGAATATAAATCTACTCTGATATACTATATGATATATGGTTCTACTATAAACAGAGTGAATAGATATTTAATAAAGTTGCCAAAGGTGAATTCCGATCCTTTTAGTGGTGGCCATTTATCAAACACACTAATCATACTCTCCATTATTATTTAATTTGCCAGGCAGAATCCCGTTATTTCTCAATAATCCCAATGTATTAACAGTCCTAAATTTTAACTTTATGGGTTTTTTTTCCTATTCTTTGGGGATTAAATAATCACCAGGTTTAACTTGTGTTTATAGAAACTTGTTTTAGTTCTTCTCAGCCAGAATCACTTTCTTACAAAGTATATTGTGTTTATTTTGCAACTTTTGTGCAATTTCAAATCTCATTCCCAATATTTTCCATTTCACTATTTGTGTTCTGTACTTTTATTGTGAGTGCCCCTACAGTAACATCAGTAGCCGTATATTAGATACATTGTAATCTCTATGTGAGCTCCTCACTGGGACTGGTATCTCCAGGGGTTAATTATGCATTAACATTCCACGCACTGCACATGGGGTGAACAATATGGTATGAGTCAATAGTCAGGCCTCTAGTCAGTAATATTGGGTCCCAGAGGACTCCACTTTTTATTTAATTTTATCATTTGCATCAACAGAAATAGCCAGTCGGCTTTGTCTGCAAACTGATCGTCTCTCAATGGGATGTGTGGGAGGTTTGTAATTGTGAATTAGATTTTTATGTCGTTTCTAATGTGTGAAGATAGCGGCAGCTGATAAAATTCAATAACAAGTTGGAATCAGGCGGTAACTAGCCACTAACGACTTCCATTATACTCTATGAAAGCCAGTAACAGTAAAGTCAGTAATTCCCAGTTGCTAATGGTAAGATTTTCCAGTTGGGAAACAGACAATACTCACTAAGGTTTGTAACCGCTGGTGGTTCCCTTATTTACCACTATAATGTCTTAAAGCATAGAACTTAGTAGGGCTAACCATACAGATATCTTAGCCATAATTTTATATAGTGTAAGAGATCCTCTATTTAACATATATAAATAATTGAGAATACAATATAAAATAAGGATTGTCTTGGAAGCAAGATTGTCTTTTGGATATTTATTATATAAAAAATATAAAATCCATTATAGCAGAGTTTATAAGATTAAATTACATGCTTGCAAATATCATTAATAGGTTAACATACCCTTCTGAACATGTCATCATGTCAGCCTCTCTGTCATTTTAAGATGGAAAAGGCGTCTGTCTCCAAGTCTCTCCTCTGTATCTTAACATTTAAAAGTACACCTATTTATACCTTAGGTGTCTCCATTTTAGGTTACTGTAGTTTAAATATGAAAAAGTAACACTTCTTTTACTTTATTCAATTTAGGACCTCCCTTTATTTGGCAAACATACAAGACCATAACTAAAGGGTGTATACGTCATGGAAATTTTCCTGACTTAGTTCAAGATGGCATCTTAAAGTCTGAATAGGTTATCTGTTGTTCATACTAAGTCGAAGGTGTACAGTAGTGGGAGATTCCCAGATTTGGGGAAGTTCCATTAACTTGGGGTTACCACAGTATATTGTGTACTGCAAGTGTCGTAGCATAGCCTTGAAGCTTGTTTATGCATTATTGTTATTGTAATTCGTCTGGGACAAAATGGCGCAAACATATTATGCACTGAGGTTATTGCTTAAAGAAACAGTTATGAAAAACAATATGTTCCATTTCTAACACCTTGTCAGTTTGCAATATCTCTTAAAGACAAAGTACACAGTTTAAGAAATACAACATTTCCTTCTAAAACTTGTAATATTTGCATTTGCCCGTAACACCCTTTCCATTAAACTGTGGGCATTGTAGCGCATTTCTTCCTTAAATTAGTGAACCAAAGTTCTCCAACTGTCTTTAGGTTTTTTGTGCTCCCAGCATCTTAGATCATTGTTGTAGCAGTAAAATATCCATAGTGTGATCTTTGCCTGTAAAGGTGGTTGATTAAAATGAGCAAAGCTTTTTTGTCTGGGAAAGAATTGAAAAGAACACCAAGTTCCAGAGTAAGATATACTTGGATGGATCCGGATACGAATTGTAATCCAAAATTAAAAATAGTAATTGTATTTGTAATCCAAAGTCTTTAAAGGCCTATAGAAGTTTACATTCCTTACATACATTGCTGGAGGTTGTGTTTGTAGAATACCCGGGTATTTGTTGTAGAGTATAGGTTGTAGAGTCCAGCTTTCCAAATATTTGGCTAGAATTGGTTGCGGATATTGATCAGCATCATCTGTTATCACTGTGGTGATGGCGTTGGTATTTGTCTTTGTCTTTTTTTATTTTGTTTTTTTCATGAAACATTTTTTACACCATTTATGATGTGTATAGATTGGATACTCTCCGATGTTCTTTTACGGAATAAATTAATTGACAGCATTTCCAAGACACTGTCTTAAGTGACATGGATCCCATTATAGTAAATGTTATGTTGATACAGCAATCGAAGTGGATTCTCAAGAACGCCTCTTTTTGCTGTATTGGAATCTTTGTAAAATCTCAGTGATAGACATCTCACTGACATCAGGTGCTGTTGTGCTAAAAATGTTAACAGGTAAAATCTGTGGAAAAATCTTTACATTTGTTATACTTTGTATAATAATGATAGATGAAATAGTAACATAGTTAATCTTTCTAGTGTTTTGTATTAAAGATAAACACCCATGTATATGATTTAGAGATATAAGGATAATTTGAAGCAGCAAAGTATTTACCTCCCTTGTTCCCAATGGTATGTAAAATTACATCCTCTTTAAATGTTAAAAATACTCCTTTATTCAAAATATCTCAATCTATTTAGAATAGTTGATAATTGGAAATATGACGTTAATTATCTTTCTTTGTCCTGTTAGGGAGAAGACAACTTATTCCCTAGTTATTAGTAAATATAATAACTACAGTTATTAGTGGCTTAAAATACCAGAAACACCCAAATATTGTCTTAGAAAACATTTTTTTTTTTTTTTTAACCAAGATCTGACAGCCATTGTGGAAAGTTACATTCGTGAGATTGGATGCTTAACAATGTGAATCTTAATTGTTTAAGTATATTTTACAGTGGCTGTTGGATGTAGCTTAAGATGATTACAATGTTTTATTATTTCTAAAAGTGAGTTAAGAAAGCACTCAGATACAATATTGAATGTATTTATATGTTAGCTCTACCTTTGTATAAGTGGTTTTATGTACCTTTAACCATTACAAACCAAATAACATTTTCTTTGTATTTGAAAAACTGATAAAATATTTGATTACGTGTATTTTAATATATATACATAGAGTGGTATGGATGTTGAATTTATATCTTTGACATCTTTTTACCAGTTTGCAATAGGTGACCTAAATGATCAATTTCCAAAATCATCATGTATATCACCTGGATGGGTTAATCCATAATACTCTTTTACTTTCCATTTACTGGCCTTAGCTCTGGCAGACTGAATATTTTTATCATTATAATAAACTTTATGATAGTTGAAGTAAAGTTTCTGCCTGTCTTACAGTTAAATTTTAACTGTTGAAGTATTTCACTTATATTAATTATACCACTCTGCAAACGAATATTGAGTAGTTTCTGATTTAATAAAAACATTTTACATTTTCTTCCTAAGTTTAAACATTATTCATTATTGCAGTTGTTATTGCAGTCATATGATCTTTAACTATCATGATTCCATTATTTATCTGGGTAATCAGCTATTATGCTCTTATACGTAAGTTTAATATATTTGTTTGTAGGCCAGACTGCAGCTGCATATGGCATTCTAGCAATAATCTTCAATTGCGTTTCAGATATTCACAAAGTCTATCCACCTTTGTAATTAACACATTATGTGTTTATTTTATACCATTAATTATAGTATCTGTATTATATTACACATTGTCACTGACACATTTCTGATACAGGGAAAAAATAGCATGATTGCTTTAGTAATTATAATTTTCGGTCCATGCACCACATTCCTGGAAGTCCAGAATATAGCAAGAATCCTTTGTCGTTTGATTCTATGGAGCCGTTTAACATTTTGATTGGTATAGTTATACCAAAAGAGCAAGGAGTACATCGACGGTAGATCACATCTGCAACAGAACCATTACAGATTCCTTGTTGTATCAATGTCTCTGTGTTTATGTTTACAGGAGTTCCTTGCTTTGCAGGTATGTACATAATATGTAGAGTTTTAGAAAAGCTGCAAATCGTGCTTTAGTACAAGTGTCCCGTGATGTCAGGTTTCTGAAAGATTTTGCTGGTCTTTTTATATTTCATTCTCTTTGCAGGGCATCTGCTCTTAGTAGGCCGGTATTGTTATTATTTATTAATTGCATCAAGGTTTCTTTCGTTAATTGATGTGTTTCTACCAAATTCAAATTCATATGCCACCAAATGTCATTGTAAAGTTCATTGTTACAGAATATTGTTCCAGGATGGTTTTTTCACTCCAGTAGGAAATCTATTTTCCTCTTCTTCTGCTCCTTCCTATTAACCCCTTTTTCTGAGTTGTAGGTAACAATCTGTGTCTTGTACTGTGAGGTGCTTTGATAGTCACTCAGGTTTTCTCAGTACCATGTTCCATCTTAAGAAATAGCTGGTTGTTGACAGTTATCAGCCTTTATTTATTTTTCCGGTCATCTTCTGTCTGGAAACATAATAGCAATGTCCAGAATTAGCATAGCACTTCTTTTCAGCATAAGAAGGCTGCTTGCGGTAGTCACTCAATGATAAGCTATATGGCAAAGTCTTTTCTTGCATCACCTTCATAGGTGCATCCAAAGTCTTTCATAAGCATCTTTCCCGTCTTTTTCTGTTTTCAGTATGCTTTGCATCATCGTTGAGTCCATTATTAGGATTTGTAATAGTCCAATCACATCTTTCTCATGTATAATCGGTTTTTGGAATGATCTCAATAGGTTCCTTGGGAAATACCAGTGTAGGCAATCATTTCACTGTGAGCTATGTCTCTCCTTTTGAGATGGTTCTTGGAGGAAGTCCTCACGATCACAGAACTTGTATAGTGTGTAGTCCAATTCAGTTCAGGTGCTTCCTGCTTGTTAACATAATCCCAATGCAGTTTTAAAACAACAGCTAAGGTTGATGTTATGATAATGCTGCAGACTGTAAGAAGGAGACTCCAATTTTCTAGCATCCTTTTGCTTCCATCTTTGAATTTCTTTCTTACTGTATAAGATAATTCAGGTTCAGTCTGTTTTCTCCAGAGTCTTTTTTATAATGATGTTGATGATTCATTTTTCATACATTCCATGTTAACTGTGAATGTATCACGTCTGTCTGTTCATCCTTCTCCTCCACATTTGCAGGTTCAGAAGTCAGATCATGATTCAGTCTGTTACGTGGCTATGATTCTGGTGGCTGTGTTTTGGTGGCATTTCTGTCGTCCTCTATTTGTTTTATCTTGTCATCTTTAACAGCATCCATTGTGTCAGTCAGTGGTTCTGTGAACGTCCTGGAAGTATTTTAGCAGGTTGTAAAATATCAGATTCACTGTTCTCTGTTGGCTCTGATTGTTCTCTGTAGTAAAAGTTCTCGGAGTCACCCTCTCCAGGACAAGCTGGCCAACAGAAGGAAATAGGTGGTGGTGCAAGGCGAGGTGGGCTGGAAAAAAAAATTCCCTAAATTTCTCTAATAGAACCAATGGATCTAAGCTCTCCCTGGTGCAGAAATATAATTGTCAGTGAAAAAACATGTAACATTTCATATGGTGTCTCACCATTTGTATCATCAGGTATGTTGTGAATGCTTATCTGTACCATAGGAATAAATAGATACCACTGTGTGGGGCAAGCAACTAGTAACTTGGTTAATAATCATTTAACCTCAGCATTTTCCCAGACCACAACCCCACTACTTTGGGGGTGGTTGGGGCACTGAAATCCCAAAGTAACCCAAATGTAGTTGCCCAGTTTTAGGTTTCCTTTGCAGTAAGTGCAGGACCACAATCCAAATGGATGGTCCTGGGATTATCAAATGCATACTAAGGAAGTGAGACTAGAAAACGTGGCATCAGAGGTTGCACTTCGCACAGGATATATCCAAGTAAACCTGGTACATGCATCAACACATACAAAAACATATTTATAACCATGAGATGTTGGCAAACTTCCAATATATAGTAATTCAAAAAGTACGTTAGATATTAATATTTCAATAAACAGTACATCAGTAATATGGCAATAAGCAAATGCTTATGATTACTAAACACATGAATTACAGTATTTCCCATATTGTGACCACCAATATCCCTTTTCAGGAGTCAGACGTACATTACCTCTCTCTATAAGAGCTTGTCCTAGCCATGAAAAAGCTTTTAGGGCAAGTCTATCTTTCCTCTATAGGAAGAACAACCAACATATTGCCTTCAATGGTTATTATGTAATTAACCCCTCTAAATGATAGGAGTATTTATACGGATACCAGGTGGATAAGGTCTGGATATCCTTGCAAGCATAAACTCTGCATCATGACTGAGAGATAGGGTATGCGATGTGATCCAGTGACCACAGAAAAGTGTTGGTAGACACATTGCATCAAAGTGCCTGTTAATGACCAACTACATGAGGAGAGGGACCATGCTTTGTTATAAGCATGTCCATACACGTATTACAATGCCAGGCTTTCAATTTGTTACCACAAAGCAAAATGCAGTTGTGGATATAAACTCACAACGTAGCATAAGAAAAACTGTTTAAACACCAGACTGAGACTCGAGATCAGTGGACCAAAATAGATAAATGAAATCCTATTAATTAATATAATTTCTTTAAATTACTTTATCCTCTGTATTAACTATGAAATATTAAAGTTAAAACAATAACATTTAAAAGCCAACTTTTAGTGTGGATAGGAATTACAAGGCCGTTCATAATGTGAGATAAAGAACAGCTTTTTTAAAATCCAAATAGTCTGTGAACACAAAATGACCTTGCGCCGAAAATTCACTTGCAGGGGAAAAACAAAACCTTCTTTTTTTCTTTTTCTTTAGTAAGTTAATTAATTAATTAAACATAGTTCGAACCTCCATCAAAGTCCCGATGACTTTGCAAGAAACATGTCGTCCTTAAATACTGGGTAAGTCTATTAAACAGTGACATAGCATTGTTACCCTGTGTATTATTTTGTCACAGCTATAATGTGCAGTATTACAAACTATTCATAAGTGTTGTGCAAACTGTTCATTAAAAGCCAGCGGACTAGTGAGCTATAGAATATTTATTTATTCTTTAAAGCTCTGACCTCAATCGGCAAAGCAATGTTGTAATGGTGTCCATTGCAATCTGCTGTCTTACTTGGTGCTCTTAAAAATTCTGAATATGTTCGGAGATTTCTTGGGCAATAATAAATCCCCCAAAACAACAACTTTGCATTTATGCTAAACCTGCCTGTTGTAAACGTATTCTGTATATTTCTTGACATAAGTACTTGTACTTAAATCTGTTTAATAAAGCTGTTTATATTGTGGTGTAAAATAAATATATATTTTTATTTTTATTTATTTATTTTAACATTGCTTAAATTTTAAAGATACCTGCATATTTAATTAAATATCCTTTATATGTCTCTAAGGCATAAAATGTCTGCAAATTAAGATTATATACAAAAATGCATGTTCTGGGTGTTCCGTGATTCCTTTTCTATCATTTATTTATTTAAAAAAATTTAAGTCTGGAATCTGATTCCTTTTGGGATGAGCACCCCTCTGAGCCTCCCCGTTTCAGAGGCTTCTTTGGAGGTGACCACTGAAAAGTATAGATTCTATAAAATAGATGTGAGGGGGCATTGGACAGTAATGTCACTTTAATTATACTTTTCATATAGCAGTTTTGTGATATGCAATGTGATTTAATATATCAGAGTATTATCACTTTAATTGACACTGCATTTTTTTATGCATTATTTATGCATTTTTTTAATTATTTTTTAAGGTTTAATGTCTGTTTAGAATATTGCAGGCTTTGCAATATCAAATTAATTTTGCATTATATATATTCACAGTGCTCTTACAACATATTATTAAAATTAGCCTCTTTCAGAATTATAGAATATGTGGTGGAACTGAATCCCCATATATGAGATTTGAAACTGTATTTTTGATTTCTACGCTGTGCCCTGATCAGTATTTATATACATAATTGCAGCAGCATATAGCTTTTAAAGAAGCAATCATTTCACTCATCATGTGTGGTTGACTGTGGACTTTTTAAAACCTACTTTTAATTTTTTTTATAAATCTGTTTCTTGCTTTGAGAGAGCAGGCTGCTGAATGCATGTAAATGCTCTTAATGCTTAGTCTCTATACATTTATTTATTTAATCGTATTTTATAAAAACCTAGTTTATGAAATTCACTGAGATTACATGTGTGTGATCTGATTACAGTCAGTAGTACAATATAATTGTTCTAATTTCCTTACTGCTAGCACTACAGGTACTGTGGGATAGTACCACTGATTTAAGTAAGCTTTCCCTTTTAAAATTGGTGGACTTTAATCCTGCCATTGCAATAGACTAAATACTGTACCTGAGTAAGCAAAGTCATTATGTGCAGGAATTGTGCACTTTAAATAGTAGAATACTTATGCTATTCTAGTGAATTGGGCTGGCTGCTTAACACATCATTTAGTATCTTTTGGTCACATTTAAAGCTGTAAATGTATTTAACATTTTATTTAAATAAGCCTTTAATAATTTCAGTTTAAAAGTTATCAGAGATCCTGTATAGTTACCATTTTATTTAGCCCTGATTTATCTTACATATATATTATTTTTAATCATTTTATCAATATTTATTTTCGCAGAGCATTTAGAGAAGCAAAGGATGTATAACCACCTGTTGCCCTTTTTTATAGGAGGGTAGTATAATTTCAACACTGTTTGTTTAGGAAAAAATATGAGCTAGTTATATATTATATAAAATATATGCTGCAGTGTACTGCATTGAATGTATTTAAAAGCCATGTATTTTTCTTTATGGCTGTATGTAATAATGTTGTTCATAATTTGGAATATAAAACAACGACTTCTCAATTCCTTGGAATGTTTACATGTCTCTATCTCCGCAACCTTGGCTGGAAATTCCAGACTCCAAAAATAGTTATGCTGTTATAATTCCTGATTTTTAATCAACAGCTAGCGTAACTGACAATATGGAAAATATCACTGTTTTATAAAACTTTTCATATATAGTGGACTGTCTGTCTGTTGCATGAATGTTTTCATTAAGCCATAATGCAATTTTCTTTGCATTCTTGGAATTAGACTTCAAATTTCATCGCTCTGTCTGATCACTTTTCTTTTGACAACATTTTGCATTAATCTTTTTCCTGTGCAAGCATACTAAGCAGCTACAAAGAGAACATATCCCCCTGTCTGCAATCCACTGTCCTGGAACTAACGGGCCATGCTATGCTGGTGTATTAGGCATTTGTTCTATTATGATATTAGTTAAGATCCACAATTTCAGCATTGTATGCTAATAACATTGTACCTGGCACCTGAACTCACAGTGCCTTGTTCACATTAAAATCATCTCTAATGATCTCTCTCTGTGTCTGGGCTACAAGTAGCTCAATAGATTCTTGATATTTCAAGACTTGTGCAATGACAAAGTATTGTGTCTTCTCTTACGTATAAGAGGTTACCTAGGTATTTATTTTATATTTAAAGCTTCCAAGCACAAAGTCCCTTCGTGGTCGCCAATTGTAACCGCTGGTTACCACTACCCTTATTTACCACTATAATGTCTTAAAGCATAGAACTTAGTAGGGCTAACCATACAGATATCTTAGCCATAATTTTATATAGTGTAAGAGATCCTCTATTTAACATATATAAATAATTGAGAATACAATATAAAATAAGGATTGTCTTGGAAGCAAGATTGTCTTTTGGATATTTATTATATAAAAATATAAAATCCATTATAGCAGAGTTTATAAGATTTAAATTACATGCTTGCAAATATCATTAATAGGTTAACATACCCTTCTGAACATGTCATCATGTCAGCCTCTCTGTCATTTTAAGATGGAGCAGCGTCTGTCTCCAAGTCTCTCCTCTGTGTCTTAACATTTAAAAGTACACCTATTTATACCTTAGGTGTCTCCATTTTAGGTTACTGTAGTTCAAATATGAAAAAGTAACACTTCTTTTACTTTATTCAATTTAGGACCTCCCTTTATTTGGCAAACATACAAGGCCATAACTAGAAGGGTGCATACGTCATGGAAATTTTCCTGACTTAGTTCAAGATGGCATCTTAAAGTCTGAATAGGTTATCTGTTGTTTATACTAAGTCGTAAGTGTACAGTCGTGGGAGATTCCCGGATTTGGGGAAGTTCCATTAACTTGGGGTTACCACAGTATATTGTGTACTGCAAGTGTCGTAGCATAGCCTTGAAGCTTGTTTATGCATTATTGTTATTGTAATTCGTCTGGGACAAAATGGCGCAAACATATTATGCACTGAGGTTATTGCTTAAAGAAACAGTTATGAAAAACAATATGTTCCATTTCTAACACCTTGTCAGTTTGCAATATCTCTTAAAGACAAAGTACACAGTTTAAAAAATACAACATTTCATTCTAAAACTTGTAATATTTGCATTTGCCCGTAACAGGTTTAGCTTATAATGGCTGGTCCGTAAAACGTACCAGCAACGTTGGAAACAAACTCCAAATCCTAACAAGATGCTTCCTATGTTCAGTTATAAAATATTATTCTCAGTGTTTGATCTCTCCATGCCGGTCATTTTAACATTTCTAATCCATCAGAATATTTTCTGTGTGTGTATTAATTATGGCATTTAGTTTCATCATCTATCACATGAAGACTAGAGAAATCACAGCACATGGAGAGAGAGAGTGAAGAACACACACGATACCAGCTTGGCGTGATCATCAAAGACAATGTCACCTATTGCATCTACTGTGACCCTACTAGAACTATCCAGGCATTGTGTGGAATGTCCACCTAGAGTTGTCAAGGCATTATACATAATGTACCAAAGTGAGTTTAGTACAATCTGGATATAACGTCCAGACTCTACTAATCAAATGAGTGGAGCGCTAAAGGTATAAACTTACCCTAAAATAGGGTTAAATCTCAGATGTATATCAGTACATATAAAGGAAACGAAAAATAAAACACAATATAGTGTAAATCCACAGGTGATAATGTATTTTGGTGATAATTCAAGTAGTCAAACTCACATTGATCAGAGCCTCAAAGGGACAGGCTCAAATCACTTGCACAGTAGTGTCGTATGGAGACACTGCACCCTTTTGCTTGGAATGGATTTCCTCAAAGTAGAGAGAAAGGGAGACTTCCTAGTGTATTAATTTTCAACAAAAATAAAAGACACATTGGGTATGGTTGTGCTCACCTTTTCCTGAGCCAATGAGAACCTGGCTCTGGATGATAGACCTGGGTACCTCTAGAGGGGGGCACCTGCCCTTCTTTAGCAGCAAGATGAAGTTACATAATGCACACATTATTGAGTCATGTCATTTAATAGAATGTCCATATAAATGCTTCTAGGCATTATATATAATGTGTTTATAAACTTGTCTCCGCATTCTATAGAATGTCTGTATAATTATATCTGGGCATTACATAGAAAGTCCAGCTAAACCAGTCTGTGGATTGTAATAGATGCTGCACACAAGAGCATAATGTATTGTAAAATGGGCGTCATCGCTCATAAAGCAGATGGAGTAATGTGTGTTTGGGTTAGTTGAGCAGGCAGAGTGTTTAGGGTCACAGCTATATAAAATGTCTAGATTTAAACATCACCTTTAACCTGTGAATGTATGGTGGAAACTAGACTCCCTAAAAAAAGTCTTAAAAGAACGCTTCAAACACCATAACCACAACAGAGTACAATAATGGTTATGGTGCCAAGAGTACCCTGTATCCCTTTTTTGTAAGTAGCCAAACTGTTTTAGAATGGTTTGACAACTTACCTGAGGTATATTGGGAACTGCACCCCACCTCACTGCAGCCTTACAAGAGCCAGAAATTCCTACGTAGGAATCCAGGGCTAACTCACAGGCTCAGAGCGTAGGCTGATAACTTTCAGCCAATGAGCCAAGTCCTGTTTCGCCAGGCTGAGCACAAAGTAAAATCTTTTAGCTAGAGAGGGGGCTGCATTGGAGGCTGTAATAAAAGGGTTTGAGTACTTATATTGTGGTGGATCAGTGCAGTTATGGCTGGTATTTGGGGGAATTCCAATAATAATAATAATAATTTTGTATCATAATTTAGATGTAAAAACTAAAATAACTAAATATGTTGACATTAACTGTTAGTTGGCATTAGCAAAGAATCTGCTGGTATTTGGGGATTCAAAATTACAAAATATACCAGCAGATTATAAATATATCTTTATATGGGTAAAGACCAAGAATCTAAACAAAAATAGCTGCAAAAACTCACTAGAAATAGCCATTTCTCCACACAGTAATATTAACAACTAACACATTATAGGGATGTGCTTGCACTCAAAAAGTGAAACAAAACTTTTTTTTTTTAAAATTCTTTATTTTATTTGTGCATCGAGTTAACAAGCAGTTTTGCACTGCCACAACAGCTGGTGCAAACATAAAGGAAACATGCAGTAACAGTAGTGTAGCATCAGGAACATTGCACATTTTTAAATTATAGCAGGAGTAACATATTAGACATATCAGGCTGCGGCACAGTGCTAGTGGTAGCTGTAGTTAGGTTAGCTGGGTGCTCTAACGCACTGGGAATGTGTAGGTCTTTTGATTAAAGGCACAGCACCCATGGGTGTCATCAACTATGTTAAAGCAGTTAACCCTTAATGGCACAACGGCTGGGTCTTTTTAGATGTCAGGCTATACATTGACACTGCCGGGTATGGCGATCAGTAGGTAGTTAGGGAGTATTATATCCTTGGTGTCTAGGCTAGTTATATTCCCCGCAGGTCGCCATGCAGCTGAGGGCATCTATGGAGGGCATGCTTAATTGTTATGATTATAATGGAAAACTTAAGGCTATGCAAATAGAGCGACAGACAAAAAACAGTTCTGGCTAACATTAGAAGTGGCTAAGGAGGCTTTCGGTATATAAACTAAGCATCTCCCAGGGGTATGTAGCTGCTGTGGGAGTTTATATACTTTGTCATAAGTTCATTCAGCCGAGGCCCGGGAGTGGTTGGGGTCAGCGACCCGGTAACGTGAGAGTCTTAGGTGCTGCAACCCTTGTTTGGACCAATGTAGCTTGCCAGTACATTGGGGGAGTGGGGCTGGTGGTTGCATACCCCTCTCCCGTGGGCCTGCAGGGCTAAGTCCACACGATTGAAGGATAGTGGATGTATTTCGCCCCTTGTTGTGCCTTCTGTTTCTTGCGCCGTCCGGTCACAAAGGTCTCTTCTGATTTCCAGCATTTCGGTGTGGTAGACTCGGGTGTGCCCTCAGAGCTGCTGCAGGGGGTCGGCGCTTCAGCACGGGTGATGATCTCTGCCTTGAAGCTCGGGGCTCTCCTCTGCTTTGCCTGCCAGTGACGTCCCTTGTAGGGGGTGCTCGTGGCGTACCACAGGGTGAGTCGGGACTCTATATTTTCACCATCTCGGGTGACCCCTGCTTCTGCGGAGGAGAGAGGGCAGGCAGGTGTCCCAGCTGGGCGGGAGAGGGTTCCGTAGTCCCGGCTTTTGCGTTAGCCAGTGTCAGCACTGGGGTCTGGCTGTTTTTCTCCAGCCGCCTCCAGAACCGCCTGCAGACAGCATCAAATTTTGCCATGAAGGCCTCTGCCCAGTCGTTTGCGGCTGCTGCGGTGCTGTCGGCCATCTTGGCCCGGCCTCGTGGCTCTCAGTTCAAATTGCACCCTGGAGCGACTCGGAGGTGAGTGCTCCCTGCGTGAAGGTGGACCAAGATAACCCCCACCGGTCCAAGGGGGAGGGGGAGGGGAGGGGAAAGACCCCTGTATGCGTTGTCAGCTTTGTGTGGCGTCAGGAAGGCGTCCGTCCCTCCCGCGCCTGCCATGTGGGTAGGCCTTGGGCCTTTGCCAAGTGGATTTTGCTTGTCTGGTAGCTTGATTGGTATCATATTAATCTTCTCGGTGTATCCCCACATTTGGAGGCTTTTCTGACACGATTGATCGCTGGTTTGACTGTGATAAACAGCTTTATTTGTTGCTTGCTGCAGGAGCTACTGTGGCTAACGTCCTCAAAACAAAAATTTTTTATGTCATTTAACAAATACGGGACTTCTCAGAACATAACCTCACCACACATACAGGACTCCATGTCACCCCATCTCATTAATAAACTCGACAAGAAGCTCTGTCCAAATATTCTGGCTGTTAGATTGAACAACAAGATACTTTTTAATACTTACACTATCTCTTGTTACTCACATTTAGAAACAGGTATAGAATGAATTAACTCATTAAAAGTGATAGTATATCATATTTATAATGATTTAATCAAATTCCCGTTTCTTGTTGAATTTCAATGGCCTCTTTGAACATTTTGTTTTTCAGGTCAGAACTCATAATAAATAATACTAAAGCTGTTTCAGCACCCTGGACAGAAACCAGCATTAAGTGCTGTGTCCTATATGGAGCATCACAGCCTCACTGTGTCTTTTATCTCCCCTATTAGATTAGTTACTGTGTATTCTATCTCCCCTATTAGATTAGTTACTGTGTATTCTATCTCCCCTATTAGATTAGTTACTGTGTATTCTATCTCCCCTATTAGATTAGTTACTGTGTATTCTATCTCCCCTATTAGATTAGTTACTGTGTATTCTATCTCCCCTATTAGATTAGTTACTGTGTATTCTATCTCCCCTATTAGATCAGTTACTGTGTATTCTATCTCCCTATTAGATTAGTTACTGTGTATTCTATCTCCCCTATTAGATCAGTTACTGTGTATTCTATCTCCCCCCTATTAGATCAGTTACTGTGTATTCCATCTCCCCTATTAGATTAGTTACTGTGTATTCTATCTCCCCTATTAGATCAGTTACTGTGTATTCTATCTCCCCTATTAGATTAGTTACTGTGTATTCTATCTCCCCCTATTAGATTAGTTACTGTGTATTCTATCTCCCCTATTAGATTAGTTACTGTGTATTCTATCTCCCCTATTAGATTAGTTACTGTGTATTCTATCTCCCCTATTAGATTAGTTACTGTGTATTCTATCTCCCCTATTAGATTAGTTACTGTGTATTCTATCTCCCTATTAGATTAGTTACTGTGTATTCTATCTCCCCTATTAGATCAGTTACTGTGTATTCTATCTCCCTATTAGATTAGTTACTGTGTATTCTATCTCCCCTATTAGATTAGTTACTGTGTATTCTATCTCCCTATTAGATTAGTACTGTGTATTCTATCTCCCTATTAGATCAGTTACTGTGTATTCTATCTCCCCTATTAGATCAGTTACTGTGTATTCTATCTCCCTATTAGATTAGTTACTGTGTATTCTATCTCCCCTATTAGATTAGTTACTGTGTATTCTATCTCCCCTATTAGATTAGTTACTGTGTATTCTATCTCCCCTATTAGATTAGTTACTGTGTATTCTATCTCCCCTATTAGATTAGTTACTGTGTATTCTATCTCCCTATTAGATTAGTTACTGTGTATTCTATCTCCCCTATTAGATTAGTTACAGTGTATTCTAACTCCCATATTAGATTAGCAGGGCGTCCCTCATTGCTGACCATAGAGTGTATGCACTTAATGATTTTATTTTATACTTTACTGCATCTTTTGGGCATATATTTTTTCTCACTATCTGACCTGATAGTGTATGCACTGTCACTGTGTTTATATTGGAAATACTACATTTATTTCATGTCTTCACTGTTGCAGTGGTTAAATCAGCTGTAACCTACTCTCTAGTCTAGTCCACTTATTGTGGTAAAATGGTTGTATGATAAACAGCTCTCCTTTATAAACTTGTGTCGTGATTGGTGAATGTGCCTATTAAAGTCACCACCAATACCAGCAATAGCAGTGACCCGTGTCTGTCCCCTTCCTATCTTATGGCGCTGGGCATTATACAGCTCCATCCCTGCTTTACATTGGCAGCAGGGCTGTTATATGTGATCCTTATGGCTATGAGCGGAGTACTTGTACTCACTATGAATGTTGTGCTCAGTATTTTATGTCGGGTTAGTCTGTATTTATAACTGAGTGTATTAGTGTTGGTATATTGAAGATAATAAAACTATAGTGTGGGCGCACCTAAAAATAAAGATATGTCTATCAAGTAATAAAAAATATTTAATAATACAATATAAGTGATGACTAATTAATTGATAAAATCCATAAGGTGACAAAAGATATTAATAAACTGATAAGCAATCAGCAATCTCCTAACAACGCAGTTCCAGGTAAATAACAATGTATATATCGAAATGTTACAAGTAGCAGTGTTCAGGATACTGCTGTCATAGAAGCAGCAGGACTCTGAACGCAACAAACTAATGTGTAACAAACTGTAACACTCAAATGTAAATGTTACAGAAAATAATAAAATACAGATTGAATACACTCAAAGATGTATTAGCATACTCCAAATTCTAATGCCGTAGAAAAAACAACTAAAACCGGAATGAAATAATGGGAGGATTCAAGCTAGAGCATAGAAATATCATGGACCGGATCTAAATATATATATATAACGCAAGAGGAGAACAGTAGTAAAATAAAGAGTAAAAGAATAGTGGAAGCATGAAATGCAATAAAAATCAAGCTACTTGCAGAACAGCGTTCAATTAATGGACAAAAATGTATAATAAACAAGCTAGCACACAAAAGAGTTAGCACAAAAAGTCAGAGTCAATGATGTAAGCGGTGGGGGCCCCCCTTAATAAAAAGTATGCTTAGACAAAAAAAAACAAAAAACGTCAGCGTAAAATCAATGAGATGAGCCGAGCCCTGGTACCTGTATCAAACGGCAGTGACATCCAATGGAGGGTAGATGTAGGATGAAAACAACTGATGTCTTTCTTCACAGGGGGAGTACAGCTGACTGGGACCACGTGGTAATCCGCGGCCGGTAACTTCACAAAAGGCCGCGGCGAGCAAATCTGGAACAGCGTTGAGGTGCTGATAAAAAAGCCTAGTGATACTGTGTGGAGATCAATCTACGCGTTTTGTCTCTTCCAAGAGACTTTATCAAGACTGAATACAACCTCCACTGTTGTAGTTAAATAACTCAGATAGAAGGTGGAACTAAAATCTGATAGAATAAACCAAATTAACCCTTGCAGGACTTGTTACTAAAGAACAACAATCTCATTAAACCCTGCAGGGTTAGTAAATATGAAATATCAAAGTCACATGAATAAAAAGTAAAAACCAACCATAGACATTTAAGAGATTGATATAGATCAATTAGAATCAATAAATTGTGTAAATAGATTAATATACAGAGAACTTAATTAAATGTGTAAAATCAACAATTAAACTCAGAATATTGGATCAAACTACGTTAAATTAAAAATCATCAGATGTATGTATGACAGTCTATTCCAAGGAAAAGCATAATAAATATAAGATAAACGACAAAATATAACTATGGATAATTGTCAATTATCCTATATAAATAAAATAAACTTATTAAAAAATATAGTGAACGTGCTACTGAGGATTTCTTATCATTGTGTAGGATTGCGTATCTGTGTTCCCTAAACCTAACTTTCAAGGGTCTTGTGGTTTTGGCCCAGATATTGTAAGCCACATTTGCAAGTCAGGAGATAGACCACATATGTGGAGTTACAGGTAATTCTGTCAGTAATAGGGTAGGTGATCTCATTTCTAAATGCTCCAAATTTTGTAGATCTATGGCACATAAAACTACAAGTAAGACATCTCAGACTCCCACAACGGAAATTCCCAGGAGTGATATGATTCTTCGGTTGGGCATTGTTAGTGTTGAATTTCGAAGGAGCAAAAATATTCTTTAAATTCTTATTTTACGAAAAGTAACCCTAGGTTCATCAGGGATGCTGAACTTGAGTAGAGGGACCAGTTTCAAAATAGGCCAATGTCTGCGTAAAATGTCTATAATTTCATCATAAGCACAATTACAAATAGTGGAGGATATATCTTTAGTGCTGATGGTGTGTCTATGATGGAAAATTTTCATGAGGGGATGGGCTACTTCCAACAGTTGTATAATCTCCAGATGTTTGGGTGACTCCAATGAATGACCTAAGTTAGTCTGTGGCTCTTCTGAAAGGTGGAACGGGGAGCCAGGAATAAGTCGTGCCCTATCTAGAGTTATCACTCTCTGGTATGCTGAGAGAATGGATCTGGGGGGGAGGTAAACCTTCTCAAGAAAATGGGTACTAAGAACAAGTGCCTCTGTTTCATAGTCATCAATGACAGAACAGTTTCTGCGCAGTCTAGTAAATTGTCCCTGGGGGACATTACATATCCAAGTAGGATGATGACCACTCGTGGGATGTAGAAATCCATTAACGTCCACTTTTTTCTGAAATGTTTTGGTATGGACATGGTTATTCTCACCCCAAAGAGCAAGACCAAGGAACTCTATTTTAACTTTATTAAAATTGCATGTAAAAGTCAATCCCCAATCCCCAATCATTGGAATTAAGGTGGGTCATAAAATCCTCAATCTCAGTAAGGTCTCCATTCCACATGATTAAAATATTGTTGATAAATAGACAATAAAAAACAAGGTGATTGTTCCACTGTAAATTTTGTAAAACATGCGACTCCTCCCAGAAGCCCATAAATAAGTTGGCATATGATGGGGAAAAACTCACTCCAATTGCTGTCCCCCTAGTTTGAAGATAAAACACATCATTAAAAGTGAAATAATTATGTGTGAATATAAAAGATGTAAAATCTATAATAGTTTGGACTTGGTTTAAAGGTTAAAGGAGATCAGCAAATAAAAAATGTTCTAGAGCTAGTAATCCTTTCTTAGTTATTACTACAAGTAATTGATGTTACCTCTCTATACTCCAACATTAAGCAAGGTGGGTGTAGGGGCTGTAGTGGATGCAAGGTGGGTGCAGGGGCTTTAGTGGGTGCAAGAGAAGCACATGGGCTCCAGTGAGAGCAGGGGGGCATAGGGGCTTGCCTAGGAGCGGGGGTGCAAATGGACTACAGTGGAAGCAGGGGATAGGCATATGGGCTGCAGTGGGTGTGATAAACGCTCTTTTGTACTGACGTTTGCCAGAAACCCCTGGAGGAGTGTGGAAGCTGGCCTCCTGCCCACCGACTATGGTCCAGGTCAGAGACCCTGTTCGGGAGTTACCCTGCCCAGCCGCCCTTAGCAGCTTTCCATTGCTGCCCCTAGTTCGTAGAGTATCCTGGGTGGGGTTTGTATTTTATTGTTCGGAGACCCCCTGCTGGGGTCTGTGCATAAAAGGCAGAGTTTGGCTCATTAAAATCAATTGTATTCCCAGAACTATGTGTCGTCTAGTTACTGGGAGAGGAAAGGGCTATTTACTGCTCAGTATCTGGTTCCAGCTCATGGAAGATTCTGCGGGAAAGTCCTTGTATGGACTATAGCTCCCAGGGCTGTGTGTCATTTAGTCCCTGGGGGAAATAGAGTTAATCCCCTACCCTGTTCCAGGACGGAAAGGCTCCAGGAGGACCCAAGTCAAGCCACGGCGACTGGGGCAGAAGCGCTGAGGTTTTCCCCGGTTCCAGCTAGGAAACGATCCTTGGCAGAGGTACCCAGCTGCGGTACAGGGAGCTCCGCTGCTGTGGATTCAGGGGAGGGTTGGGTGCTGTTTTGGATACAGGGGAGATACGGGTGCAAAGTGGCTGTAGTGAGTGCAAGGGGGGGATTGGGGTGTAGTAGATGCAAGGGATATAGAGGTGCGGGGGGGGGGAGGCATAAGGTATTTAGAGAGAGCTGGACAGGCAGGGGTTATAGTGGGGGATAGGGACACCTAACTTATCCTTCCCGTAACTCTGTCAGTTCCTGAGAGATTATGGATCCTGGCACAGAGAGAGCAGGATCTCTGCCAGGTCTCACTGAGAATGCCATTGGAGGGGTGGGGGTCACTTACACTGCGATAGGCTGCATGGGCCCCGGCTTGGGAGATCTTTGATCACTACATCATGGCTGATCAGAAAGGCCTCTGACAGCCTCGGGCCCTCTGTCCATAATTGATCTGCCCAAGTGGTCAGTCCACCCAGTCTGGTCTGGTCTTAGAACACCCTATCTCTAAACAATAAAATAACAGCAATTCTTTGTTTGATTAATCTTCCTTTTTTGCTTCTTTTCCTTCCTGATCATCTCTTCCCTCCATGAAAGCTCTGCATTGTATACGGCACCTGGTGGCAATTTCACTCATTCTTTGTTTTTAACGTCATTGCTCAATTGAAGATATTCCATTTTAGTGCAGTTTTCTGCCATTTAAAGAGGCACTCCAGATATCGACACGTTAAGTGCAATTTGTAGGTTATAGTTTGTTTTGCTGGGTAGATATTTTAATTGTCTTTAGCTCAAAATATTGTGTTTTTATCCATAATTTATTCCATCCACTCTCTCTCATTCCTAACTTGCAGCATTTACTCATGTTTCCATTATTTTTTCTCTTATGGTGTAGAAAGATGACTACAACTCCCAGAATCCCTTCCTTTTCACATGAAAATAATTTTTAAACACTCATTGTGGATATTAATACTGAGATTAACATCCAACAATTATTAGCTGTAATTCTTCTATTAGAAAGGATGTTTATTCAGAACAGGAGATTGGATCTAAATATCAAGTTATTTAAACAGTGTGAAACTATCATGGTTTAAAGGGACACTCAGGACCCCTAAATCACTTTAGCTTGCTGAAAAGCTTTATGTATGAAGAGTGTTTCATCTTATTTCATTTTACCAAAAGTCCAGATTTCAACAGAAATTGGCACTTTTATAAATTCACTTTGTTACATGCCTTTTGCTTTCAAGCAGACAACAAACAGTTCATGTCACTTCCTGACTGATTAGCTCAGTGGAGCTAAACTCAAGAGACAGCAATTGCCCAGAGCAACTGCCTTGTAAAGACTTCTCATTAAGCTGCATTGGAAATTCTGTGATTATTTTTATATTAAAGGGACACTATAGTCACCAGAACAACTACAGCTTAATGTAGTTGTTCTGATAAATATAGTCAGTCACTTATGGCCTTTTGCAGTAAACAATGGCTTTTCAGAAAAAATGCAGTGTTTACTTAACTGCCTAGGGACACCTCCAGTTGCCACTACTCAGATGGTTACGAGATGGTTACCCTCTGCATGAAGACACTGAACTTTCCGCATTGATTCATTGAATTTCTTTGAGGAGATACTGATTTGCCAGGTTGGTGTTTGGCTACTCCCTCGGCCTGTCTCATTGGCTGAGATCATCAGAAATGACAATCGTAGCCAATACAATGCTTTCCTATGGGAAAGGATTGTGATTGTCTGGGATCATTACTTTGTATGATGTTAGCCAAGGAGGCTGATCAAGGACAGTGCCAGCACCAGCAGACTGGAATAAAGGTAAGATTTTACTATATTTAGGGTGGCCAGGGAGGCTAGATAGTGTTTTTAAAACTGTAGGGTCAGGGATACATGTTTGTATGCCTGAGCCTATAGTGTTCCTTTAAAATACATTTTACTTTGAATTCTTATTTTAGTGAATAATCCTTATACTTTGTTTCAGTGATTCTGTGTCTTTCATATCTTTTTTCTTTAAATTTAGTTTGTGGGGGGTGAATTTTACTCCAGAAGAATGTTGTAAGTAAAAGTGAATAGAGTTAGGCCCTAATAATGTCATTGATGTTATAAGTTTTCTAAATAATTCAATAATTCAAGTTTTTTTTAATACCAAAATAGCTGAACTGAAAACAGATGATTTAGAGATTTTTTTTCAGTTCAGTGATTTTGGTCTTAAATTTTAAATTTACTTTCAACGTCCAACAATTCTAACTATAATTAATGACTCGTGATGCTTACCTGTACAGGTATAAAACCCCTTGATGTGATTTATGTGAAATTCTGATGCAATTCACTGTACTCTATCCACCAATCAAAAACTCCTAAATGATACTAAACACCGTAAGTTTGCCAATTAAACAGATGAAGAAAGTAACACAAAAGACATAAGGAAATGGTTTTATATAATTGGGTTAATTTATTATTAGTTTATACTGGTGTATTTTTATCAATAGCATATAAAATACATATTGCATGTCAATAGACATTGGTATTTATATAGATTAAAAGGCTAAACATTAATAATGATAATTTATAGGTAATAATATTAATATAATATATACATGTATTTATGGCATTTTTAAAAATATTTCTTGGGTGTGTACAGCAGCTCTCAGGACAGGAAAAACCCCCGGTGGAGGAAACCTGTGAGGAGCCATGGCTGCTCTACTGCCCCTCCTCTGGGCATACTAATGCATTGGGGGTCAGCTCACTATGCTTAGCCTTGAAATTATGTAATTTGGAGATTATTCACAATAACTTAAATAAATTTAATGTATTTTATCCTATCACTAGTGGGGCTCTGCTCATGGTGTTGCTCCTCGGTGGAATCCGAGCCTGGGAGAGTGCGGCTCTCGCTAGTGGAACTGGGTCTGGTGTTCTGCTCCTGGGTGGAGCCAAAGTTTGGGACAGTGCGGCTCTCACTAGTGGAGATGGACCCGAAGCTCTCCTCCTTGTTGAGCCTTGTTGAGCCCTAGCATGCAAAGGAATTTTCTGGAAGATATATACAGCAAAATTTGGGGACAGTTCACTATATTTATCCTTTAAAATATGTAATTTTGAATTTATTCCCAATAATGTCTCTAAATTTCATGCTCAAGTGTTTACTAAATTAAACTTGAATGTGCTAAATTGAATTAGGGGGAATACTGGGCATGATAAATAATAATCCTGAGCAAGTCATAATTCTATACACTATACAAAATGTAAATATTTGGTAATTTGGTCAATACACTGTTTACTAAAAGGGAGGGTATTCACTATTAGGCCTATCCATTCACAATTCAGTAAATGTGGTTAGATTCAGTATAGATTATCAATTTTCACATTTTTATAATATTTATATATACTGTTGTATACTAATGACCATTTTTTGTTGTTTGAGAAACATCAAAAGAAAGAAAGGAAAAAAAAAAAGATTTAGACCAGATTGGCAATTCTCATATTTAGTAAAAATCTAATCTGGTTGAAATCCGGCAGATATATTCATTGTGTTAACTAATTATTTAGGGGCAGTTCACTATGCTTAGCCTTTAAATTATATAATCTTAAAATAATTCACAATAACTTACCTGAATATAATGTATTCTATACTCTCACTAGTGGGGCTCAGCTCATGGTGTTGTTCCTTACTGGAACCCGAGCCTGGGAGAGTGCGGCTCTCGCTAGTGGGGCTGGGCCTGGTGTTCTGCTCCTCGGTGGAGCCCAAGCTTGAGAGAGTGTGGCTCTCACTAGTGGAGCTGGGCCCTAAGCTCTCCTCCTTGTTGAGCCCTAGCCTGCAGAGGAATTATCTGGCAGATATATTTAAAGTGCCTTAACTACTAAATTGAGGACAGTTCAGTATGTTTAGCCTTTAAATTATGTAACTTGGAAATTATTCCCAATAACGTCTCTAATTTTAATGTTCAAGTGTTTACTAAATTAAACTTGAATGTGCTAAATTGAATTAGGGGGACTAGTGGGCATGATAAATAATATTCCTGAACAAGTCATAATTCTATACACTATAGAAATTTAAATATTTGGTAATTTGGTCAATCCAGTGTTTACAAAAAGGAAGCATATTCACTATTATAAAGGCTATCTTTCCTGCCTTAATATGCCCTCCCCCATTTGTGCTGATGCCGAGAGACGGGCAGAACATTTTCACGCCGATCTCCCGGCTTCGGCATACATTTCTCACAATGCCCGGTTTCAATCACGTGATCGCGGGAGGTCGCGATCACGTGTCCTTTAAATATTTTATCGTTAATAACGCTCGTTTTATTATTTAAAGTACATAGATACCTTTAGACTCCACCCAAATATGCCCCTATATCCTAAATTTAGACTTTTGAATATGTGTTGGTCGCGATCACATGCTCCTCAATTATATCATATTTACATGTGCATTATAATGTTAATAAGGCTCGTTTTATTATGTTAAGCATAGAGACATTCTTAGATTTTATTACAAAATGTTCCTATATCTTAAATTTTGAGTTTTGAAAATGTTCTAAATTATGCATATTTTATGAGTGACTTCATTTTGGCGCCAAAATTCGAATCCCTATCTGTCTTTCTTAGTTTATAAAATCATTTACTGTACCAGGTTTTTCTCTCTTTTTAATGCCATTTGATAAAGCCCTGTGTGGTGAAACGTGTTTTGGCTGTTATTAGTTTGTTTTATATACTGATATATTATATTTTAATAAAGGAATATTGGCTTTTATTTATGCCTATATATACTTTTAATTCTTTTTTTAATTTGAATTACCTGGTCACCGATTTGGATTGAAGTACGCTACTTTCCAAGAATCCAAGGTGGGGATTGTACCACCTGCGCCACTATATTGAGCAGTAGTTCCTGCTCATATACATGTGAGTATTTTACCATTTTATTTGTTTTTTAAAATAATTCAGTGAGCACTATATACGTCTCCCATCTCTCCACATATCGAGGAATTACTCAGGACTTCATCACCTATATCCGACCAGTGGGGGATTGACGCCACTGAACGCTAAGAATACTTGAGCAAAGTTTTTTTTGCTCATGCTAAGGTGAGTTTTTTACCTACTCACAGACTTATATCTGAAAATTTGTCGACATCCTACACTATTGGAGTTCTTCTTATCTCTTTTATGTACCCACATATCGACAAGCGAATCAAGACATCTCCAACATAAGAAGCTTCAGACATTCATTTGGACTTTATATTCACCCAAGAAATATACAGGTTTTTCTACTATTTGGGACTTTTTATTATATTTATTCATTCAATTCATATCACCTCTCTGTCCCTTCAGCGCGACCTATATACCCATTTTTGTCTATCTTATTCCTTGTGAGGCTTGTTGAGGGACCTCATTTCTATAGGTTGCAGCTTTTATACTTATTTTAGTTTCTTTTAGATTATTTAGCGCTGAACCGTTATCCATTTGTTAGATATATACAGTGTGTTAACTCATAATTTGGGGACAGTTCACTATGTTTGGCCTTTAAATTATGTAATTTGGAAATTATTCCAAACAACGTCTCTAAATTTAATGTTCAAGTGTTTACTAATTTAAACTTGAATGTGCAAAATTGAATTAGGGGGAATTTTGTGCATGATAAATATTAACCCTGAACAAGTCATAATTCAATGCACTATAGAAATTTAAATATTTGGTAATTTGGTCAATACACTCTTTACTAATAATTTGGGGGCAGTTAACTATGTTTAGCCTTTAAATTATATAATCTTAAAATTATTCACAATAACTTACCTGAATTTAATGTATTCTATCCTCTCACTCGGGGAGCTCAGCTCATGGTGTTTCTCCTTGCTGGAACCCAAGCCTGGGAGAGTGCGGCTCTCGCTAGTGGGGCTGGGCCTGGTGTTCTGCTCCTCGGTGGAGCCCAAGCTTGGGAGAGTGCGGCTCTTGGAAGAGTGTGGAGCTGGGCCCGAAGCTCTCCTCCTTGTTGAGCCCTAGCCTGCAGAGGAATTATCTGGCAGATATATACAGTGTGCTAACTAATAATTTGGGGACAGTTCACTATGTTTAGCCTTTAAATGATGTAACTTGGCAATGATTCCAAATACCCACTAAATTTAATGCTCTAGAGTTTACTAAATTAATCTTGAATGTGCTAAGGTGAACTTGGGGAATACTGTGCATGATAAAAAAATAATCCCGAACATGTAATAATTCTATACACTATAGAAATGTAAATATTTGGTAATTTGGTCAATACACTGTTTAGACAAAGACAGGAGTATTCACTATTATGCCTATCCATTCACAATTCAGTAAATGTGGTTAGATTCAGAACAGATGGTCAATTCTCATATTTCGTAAAAATCTAATCTGGTTGAAATCTGGCAGATATATTCAGTGTGTTAACTAATAAATTGGGGGCAGTTCACTATGCTTAGCCTTTAAATTATATAATCTTAAAATTATTCACAATAACTTACCTGAATTTAATGTATTCTATCCTCTCACTAGTGGGGCTCAGCTCATGGTGTTGCTCCTTGCAGGAACCCGAGCCTGGGAGAGTGCGGCTCTCGCTAGTGTGGCTGGGCCTGGTGTTCTGCTCCTCGGTGGAGCCCAAACTTGGGAGAGTGCGGCTCTCACTAGTGGAGCTGGGCCCGAAGCTCTCCTCCTTCTGGAGCCCTAGCCTGCAGAGGAATTATCTGGCAGATATATACAGTGCCTTAACTAATAATTTGGGGACAGTTCACTATGTTTAGCCTTTGAATGATATAACTTGAAAATTATTCCCAATAACTTCACTGTATTTAATGTTCAAGTGTTTACTAAATTAAATTTGAATGTGCTAAGTTGAATTTGGGTAATACTGTGCTTGATAAATAATCATCCTGAACATGTAGAAATTCTATACAGTATAGAAATGTAAATATTTGGTAATTTGGTCAATACACTGTTTACAAAAAGGAAGCATATTCACTATTATGCCTATCCATTCACAATACAGTAAAGATTATTAGATTCAGACCAGATTGGCAATTATCATTTTTAGTAAAATCAAATCTGGTTGAAATCCGGCAGAAATATTCAATGTGTTAGCTATTAATTTGGTGGCAGTTCTCTATGCTTAGCCTTTAAATTATATAATCTTAAAATTATTCGCAATAACTTACCACAATTTAATGTATTCTGTCCTCTCACTAGTGGGGCTTTAACCAGGGTGTGGCTCCTCAGTGGAACCCGAGCCTGGCAGAGTGTGACTCTCACTAGTGGAGCTGGGCCCAAAGCACTCCTCCTTGGTATGGTCTAGCTTGCAGAGTACAGCTCTCAAGGGTGCGGCTTTACCTGGGGCCACTCTGACGCTGACCTTCTCCTATCCACTTCTCGTAACTATTCTGCTAACTCACACTTGTAGGATTTCTTTGATGGGGGAACGCAAACTCAGTCTATGCACAAGTCTCCGATCCTTTAAGAAGTCCCTTAAAACCCACCTCTTGAGATTAGCCTAAGGACTCCCAGGGTAACTACCATTCCTCAAATCTATATCTTAGTCTCTATACCCTCTAATAATTTAATTCAATCCAGATAAGGCCCTAGGTAACAAACCAGAGAATGTGGTTCAGGTCACTCACCTTTAGCCGTCGCTCGATTCTCTGAATAACCTGGAAACAGAAACTACTTACATTTCTATCATGAAATGCCAGAAAATGAGGAATCACCATGGTAACCACGCCTTCAGATTCAATGCTCTTAATGTCTTCTCTGATACGATCCTTCACTTTCCGCTCAGTTTCCCCTACATGTTGCAGGTTACATACAGGGCACGTGATTAAATAAACCACATTTCCGAAATCTGAAATAAAACTGATAGAAAGTAACTAATTATATCTAAAGGGAATTCAGGAAACAAATCAACATTAATAGTCAGTGTTATTGTATCCCAGCTCTAAGCTAAGCAGAAGCAGACGAACCACAATGGCTTCTTTGGGTTAACCACAGACTGTCCACTTCCTCCTTCAAGGTTTAACATACATAATATTAACCCTTACAATCATCATACACACACAGACCAGTTGAATTTTTCTTTTACTTCTGAACTTTACAAATCTTCCCATCCCACCCAGTTATATAACACAGTAACTAATATGGCTTATAAAGGTCACATGTTTTCAAATTACATTAAAAAAGACATTACAGCTTGTCTTACATTCCCTAAGAATATAATTGGAAATTCCTGAATGGATGGATAAATATTCTAGATTTATTATAGTCTATAAAATATTGGTCTGTACCATTCCTTTATAGTTTATTAGATCATCACTAAGCCCTTAATGCAATTAAAGTGTGGAAAATAATGATGAAATAGAGTCTGTGAATGGATGTACAATATGGGCAATTGTGTATGAAATCTCTTATGTTTCTAAACTGACCAATCTCTGTAAAGATTTTATGTTAACCTTACCTGCAATGCATTCAGCTAACTGATATAATTCTGGAAAATAGCACTTGGATAATGCAGCAGCCACTGTCCCCTCACAAGATGCTCAGTCTCTCTGAGTATCGGTCACTGTGACATTCATTGTTCCATCAGATGATATCACAGTGTTTTATGATGTCACTGCACCTGACCATATATGGAGATATAAACCTTTCAGTAATGGAGAAACTATGACCTCATCCCAGTTTCAGCTGCAGGAAGACAAATGTAAGGGTTATCTGAGATCTCCAATGGTAGATGTAATTTAAAATAGCATCCACTTTGGTGATTTCAAATTAAATAAAGCAGAACAAATCACAAAATTTTTTTTTGATCTATTGCTTGTCATAACAATAGCAAATTAGGCACTTATCTACTAAGCAAACAAAATAAAATTATGAAAATAGTTATTTTCTCTTAAAAATTAGATTGCCTCAGGGTGAACAAGCAACGGTCAGCCTTTACGAGTAGAGCGCTTTATACAAAACCCAATAGTCACTTACCTCTATATTGGGGGTGTTCCATATTATATAGCTTAACTGGAGAGCATAAAAGGAGCGTAAAAAGATAGAAAATAAACAAGAAAAAGAATATGGTGTGTATCGTTAAGCCCTCTTGTGACTGAAAAAAGAGTATTGGTCACACTCACATGGAATTGAGCAGATAAGATAGGCTCAAACCATACAGCAGTTGTGTACTCTAATGACACAATTTCCCTTTCCAAATATTTCGGTGAATATTTGTCTTTTCTATTTTTAGGCTCTGACCCTCATTTGTTTGGTTTATTTCTGCTATTTGCTCTGGGTTATAACCCATTTTAGCATCAGAGAAGGGTTTTCATATAAATGGAGCTATTCTATCTTTATTCTATTTTATTTATACACCTACTGATTTGAATATATCACAAAATGGAGAAATAAAGTAAACAGAGTGCAGGTCAGGAGTCCAGATACAAGTCAAAGGCTCATGAGCTGCACCACTGTAACCACCTAATAATGAGCTCCAATGAGGGGGGTAACCCTCCAAAATATGTAGGTAATAGGAGTAGGTGATGTGTAGAGTCCCACAAGGGGAAACCAACATCAAGGAGAGCTCCACTGTATAAGAAACGAGGAAGGGAGGCCCTGCCTTTAATAAATCTAAGGATAAAAAGGGATATTCAAACAAAAAGTATAACTTGAAAAAAGGGAGATCTACTAAACAGTGCCCAGTGGATCAATTGGAGTACTAGCTAGCATCTAAGCGTTAGATCCACTCTTCAGAAAACACTTAATGCCCCACCAGCATACATAGATTTTATTTCTGATATCCTTAAATTTATCTTAACAAAGAATGTCTTTTTATTTAATGGTAAAGTATACCAACAAGTTAGGGGTATTGCCATGGGGACTTCATGCACATCCTCCTATGCCAACATATACTTGGGCACCTGGGAGACACACATTGAAACGGACCAGACTTTATCGATCTATCGTGATAAAATGTAATTTTGGAAAAGATACATCGATGATGTCTTTGTTATTTGGCTGGGATCTTCAGATGAGTTCATGACGTTTGTAACTCTCTTAAACACTAATGAATTCAACTTAAAATTCACAATCAAAGTGGGGTGCAGGAATCTTAACTTCCTAGACCTTACTGTTTCCATACAAACAAGTGGATACATTTCAACCACCCTGTACCGAAAACAAACAGCCTGTAATGGCCTTCTAAATTGGACTAGCCTCCACCCACCAAAACTGAAGGCCGCAATCCCTGTCGGCCAATATCTGCGCTTACGTAGAAATTGCTCTTCCCTGGATGACTTTAAAATCAAGTTCTGGGATCTCCGGAAATCTTTTAGGGAAAAAGGTTACCCTAATTGGGTTCTAAAAAGGGCTTATGCCAGAGCAATTAATTCCGACAGAGATACCCTACTCAGCGATCACATAAGGGACACAGGACTTTCCACGATTCGATGCATAGCATCGTATGATGCAGGCTGGTCTAACATGATGAATATGCTTAAAAGATTTTGGCCAATACTCACTTCGGATCCCCATATTAAGAAGGTTATAACACCATTCCCCTCAGTGACAGCAGGCAGGGGCAGAATTCTGAAAGACATGCTAGTCCCTAGCTATTAGGCCCCCCTTAAATAAACCCCTCAAACAATATCTACCCAGGGGTACATACAAGTGTGGCCACTGTAGTGCATGTCCCCATATTGCTAAACAGACCAAGTTTTTCACAGACAGCATTGAAAGTGAAGAATTTTTAGCAAAATCTTTCTTTAACTGCCATACCGAAGGGCTAGTATACCTCCTGTTATGTTCATGTGGTTTGAAGTACGTAGGCAAAACGTTTCGCCCCTTCAAGATTCGCATAAGAGAACACGTTAATTCCGTAAGGAGACCATTAGAGACACCAATTTCACGACATCTAAAAACTCACCATTCTAATTCTGCTACTAAAATTAGATTCATGGGTATTGAATCAGTCCAACAACCTCCACGTAAAGGAAATTGGGACCGAAAACTACGGCAGAGAGAATCGTATTGGATTTACAAACTAAAAACGTTATCCCCAGCAGGGTTAAATGCAGGGCCGTCTTTAACGCGGGGCAAACGGGGCAGCTGCCCCGGGCCCAGTTGCTCCTGAGGGGCCCCAGAGCAGCTGCCTCATGGGCCCCGCGATTTGAGCAGCTCCCATGGACCTGGCGGGGCGGCTGCACAGAGCCACACCAGCCGCACACTAAGGAGGCCCCCGGGTGACCCATGCACTAAGGGCCACCCGGTGGGCCTGGGTCAGCAGGGGCCCGGTCGGGTGCTGTGACACAAACAGCGCGACCGGGCCCCTTCCTGTTCGGCAGCCGGCTGGGAGGAAGTGAGTGCCTCGCGTCACTTCCTCCCACCGGAGATCACAACTGCGCGGAAGGAGAAAGGCAGGGAGGAGGGGAGTTCCAGAGGAGAACTCCCATCTGCCTCAGCCTGCCACTGGACCCAAGGGAAACCACCCTCCAGAAATATGTGTGTGTGTATGTCTATGTCTGTCTGTGTGTGTGTGTCAGTATGTCTGTGTGTGTGTGTCAGTATGTGTGTATGTATGTCTGAGTGTTAGTATGTCTCTGTGTGTCTATGTCTGTCTGTGTGTGTGTGTGTGTGTGTGTGTGTATGTCAGTATGTGTGTATGTATGTTTGTGAGTGTCAGTATGTCTATGTGTGTCTATTTCTGTCTGTGTGTGTGTGTGTGTATGTCAGTATGTGTGTATATATGTCTGAGTGTCAGTATGTCTCTGTGTGTCTATGTCTGTCTGTGTGTGTGTGTATGTCAGTATGTGTGTATGTATGTCTGTGAGTGTCAGTATGTCTCTGTGTGTCTATGTCTGTCTGTGTGTGTGTATGTCAGTATGTGTGTATGTATGTCTGTGAGTGTCAGTATGTCTCTGTGTGTCTATGTCTGTCTGTGTGTGTGTGTATGTCAGTATGTCTGTGTGTCACTAAGTCTGTGTGTGTGTCTATGTCTGTCTGTGTGTGTATGTGTGTGTGTATGTCTCTATGTGTGTGTGTGTGTGTATGTCAGTATGTCTGTGTATGTATGTGTATGTCTGTGTGTATGTCAGTATGTCTGTGTGTATGTCTGTGTGTCTGTATATGTCAGTATGCCTGTGTGTGTGTTTGTCAGTATGTCTGTGTGTGTGTCAGTATGTCTGTGTGTGTGTCAGTATGTCTGTGTGTGTCAGTATGTCTGCCTGTGTGTGTGTGTGTCAGTATGTCTGTCTGTCTGTGTGTCAGTATGTCTGTGTGTTTGTCAGTATGTCTGCCTGTGTGTCTGTGTCAGAATGACTGTGTGTGTGTGTCAATAGGTCTGTCAGTGTATGCGTCTGTGTGTGTCAGTATATTTGTCAGTTTATGTCTGTGTATTCATGAATGTGTGTCTGTGTGTGTGTCAGTATGTCTGAATGTGTGTCAATATGTCTGCCAGTATATATTTGTGTGTCAGTGTATGTGTATGTCAGTATGTATCTGAGAATGTTTTAATATGTCTGTCTGTGTGCGTATGTGTCAGTATGTCTGTCAGTGTGATTGCGGGTTGGGTGTAATTAAGGGGTTGGGGGGGAAGGAGCAGGGCCCAGGGGCCCAAGAAAATGCATTGCCCAGGGTCCTAATCATATTATAGACGGCCCTGGTTAAATGAGGTATTCTCTTTTTTAGCTTTTTTGTAATACTCTCTCTATTGAGGGGACTTAACCAACACTGAGGAACTCTTCCTTTCTAAGCTCCCTACCATACTATTTGTAAATTTGTAGATATGTAAATATGACACTTTTTAATATGAACATTAACGGCCACTTTATTTTCACCGTGTTCATTTTGCCTTTCGAGCCAAGATACTGTCTGTCTTATTTTATACATCCTGATGGGGGTTTACTTCCCCTGATTGGATGTTTATTTCTATATGTTTATAGGCATTATTCAATCCATAAGACAGGTCCCTTTACTGTACATTTAATGTACCCTGACCTGACTGGCATATGTGAGATCTTGTGTGGCAATTTTTTGACTGTACAATTAATGAGACAGCCTATGCAATAGATGCCCATACCGGATGGGACTCAGTGCAGCTCTCACAATGTTGTGAACACTGCCAAGATGCTATTCCCCGCACACTCCCAGTCAGTTCCACTCCATAATACAGTGGATGTTCCGGTCACACTATGAGGTGCGCTTTGGGAATACTTTAAGCCAACCTCACATATTCAGCCATCACGTCCAAGTTACGCCCCGTCTGGCTCCACTCTATAGGTCAGGACAGGGGTTAAGGCGTTAAAAGGATAATAATAGCAACATGTATTTATGTGGCACCTTTCTCCTAGTGGGACTCAGGACGTTCTTCAGCTCTCGGAGCTTACCAGGTCAGCAGCTGACTAGTAGTATATGTTAATGTTGCCCCATTGATGGAGATTGTTTTGCCAACCTCGGACGGATGGGGTGTTGGTTGGCTCTGCCGGGATTTGTACCTGCAGCCTTGCCTTTTTTAGCAGGCTTTGTGGTCAGGGATTTTGCCAGCTAAGCTATGTCATTGGCAGGGTGTGTTGTCACTGTCAATGTTTTTGAGATGTAGAATATGTGACGACATGCCACACCCCCGGTAGACTGCAGAATAGAGTTTAGATACTCTGCCCCTCAGGAACTCCCACATTGAACAGCTGATGGCCATGTGTCATCAGCAATAGGTATTTAAATGGAACAACAAGCTACTCATGTTCACAGGCTCCTGACAATGGTGTTTTGCACATGCCGAAACGTGTGTTGAGCATTTTATTTTTCTTTGATCTCTGCACTTGGTAGCACTTTTTTATTTTTGTTAACACTATGGTTATTGATTTTTAGGTGTTTATTTATTTAGAACTTTAGTAGGGAGAGTTGGTTCAGGTAGACACTAGTGGTTAGACCACGGTGTCAAGGTAACTTTTAGGGTGAATTGAGAGATTTTTTTTTGTGTGAGGCTTTTCATCTGCGTTTAGACCTGATTACCCGGTCCCTTGTTCTCTGGGGATCCTGTGCCTCTTCTCTCTCCCTAACCTCGTTTACACTAACTTCCTGTCAGTCAACCAGTAGGGGAACTGGAATTTAGATGCTAGCTAGTACTCCAGCCAATTGATCCCCTGGGCACCGTTTAGTAGATCTCCCTTTTTTTTATTTAAAAAAATACTCAGTGCATCCCCACTTATATACACAATATATAGATGCACCCCACTCTCCAATTATGTTGATTTGTAATAAATTGCTTTTCTTCTTTACTTTATAGTTTGATGTTCTGATCTCACAGGTATAATTTCCCAAGTCCTCCAGCTGAGCTGACTGAACCTGGTACTTATTGGATGAACTGAACCCCTGCACCATCTCTTCATTTCTGTACAAAGCAAAGAGCAGGTTTGTGGGATATCAAGGAATTGTCACATGCCAGGGTCATCTCCGCGCCTTCTGTCATCTTCTGCAAGCTCGCTTTAATTTTGCACATATGATGTCATATTGCGGCTCTGGCATCAATAAGCGGCGCGCAAGGGAGCTGGGCAGAGAGCGCTCGGGGAGAGTGCTCCCTCGCGTACCTGCAGGACTGGCCACCATGCAGCCCCACTGGACCCCAGGGAATCCCCTCAGCACTCCCAAAGGTAGGGAGGCTGGGGGATTACATTTAAAAAAAAAATGTGCTAGTGTGTATGTGTGTTAGCATGTGTGTGTGTGTTAGTTTTTGTATTAGTGTGTGTTACTGTGTGTCTGCTAGTGAGTGTGTTAGTTTTTGTGTGTGTGTCAGTGAATGTGTTACTGTGTGTGTCTGTTACTGAGTGTGTTAGTTTGTGTGCCTGTTAGTGAGAGTGTATGTTTTGTAAGTGAGTGTGTATGTATGTCTGTCACTAAATGTGTGTCTGTTAGCTAGTGTGTATGCGTCTGTTCGTGAGAGCATGTGTGTGTGTTTAAAACCCCTTCAGCACTTACCTTTCTCCAGTGCTGGACTCCCTTGGCACTGGGGATCCCTCCGCCCTGATCCACCTCTCAGCTCCGAATGCGCATGCGCGGCAAGAGCCAAGCGCGCATTCAAACCGCCCATAGGAAAGCATTACTCAATGCTTTCCTATGGACGTCCAGCGTCTTCTCACTGTGATTTTCACAGAGAGAATCGCAGAAACACTAGAGGCTGGATTAACCCTCAGTGAAACCTTTCAGCTGCAAGGTTAAAACTAGAGGGACCTGGCACCCAGACCACTTTATTGAGCTGATGTGATCTGGTTGTCTGTAGTGGTCCTTTAAGTGTATGTGTATCTGCATGCACTGACATACATAATGCAGTCGTAGGGGTCGGGGGGGGGGGGCACAAATTAATTTTCGCACCGGGGCCCCATGGGTCGTGTTTACGCCACTGTCGTAAACATGAGCATTGTAACGGACCGTTTTTGCCCACAAGAGGTTAAAAACTGTTTAGGCGATATTCCCCTTTTTCAGATGTACAGACAGCTACTACAAGCACCAATCTTCGGAACTGCAAACCCACGAATTCACCAACTCCCGAACTGCAACCAAGGGAATACTCGAAACTCCCGAACTGCATACCAAGTAGCACTCCAAACTCCCGAACTGGAGACACACGAATAGCTGTTAGCAGACGAACAAGAAAAGCACCCAAGCAGCTTACACTCCTGGCAATCAGTCTCTAACAGCATACAGTAAATCCCCCCAAAACGACACTTCGTTTTGAGGTTCAAGCAGAATCTGGTTTACTGGGGCTAACTGCCCAGCTTTTATGCAGGTCTCCCACCTGGTGGACACTCCTCTAGGGGACCAGATGGGAAACTGGGAAACATATTGGACATTAACCAATCACAAGCTTACAATCCCACAATGCATCACAATCCCTCCTCTCTGTCCTGGAGATAATTGGGAAGTAATCCAATTATCTCCAAGGACAGAGGGAAAACTCCATTAACCGCATGGCAGTAAAAAGACAGTAAAAGACATAAAATTATATACAGTTACATTTATAACATATACATTCTACATATCCCCAGATAGCTTAGATCTGAGCGCACATTACTACCGAATGGCGCTCAGATCACATACATACAGTTCAATCGCCATGGAGCCAAAGTCTTTCACATAGTCTTTCGTTACACTAATAGGCTCCATGGCTTAGCTATCTGGGGTGATGCTGTTCATCCGGTTAAACTACTGAATGAACCGTCATTCGGTTCCGCTACCGAATGGAGAGGTAAGGAGGCTGGCGGCTCAGCGGTGTTCGCGCCAATAAGTATCCCTTTTCAGTTCCATAGTTTGGGCGCTGAACACCGCTGGCCGTTCGGGAGGTAAAATGGCCGCTGCCACGTGTTCGGCAACCTTACAAAGGCCACCCAGCGTTCATCAATTAAGCTGCGGTTAACCGCAGCTTCTGGGCGGTCAATTGACGTCACACTCCAGTTCCTAGGTGGTCCATCGTTCGGTAGATTGAATCTGCCGAACACCCTGGCAGAAAGGCACGAATAAACTTTTCAGCAGGGAAAATAACAGGTCTGAACTGCAGGGCCATAGTCTAAAGGGAGCAGGCGAGCAACCAAGCTTCTCCAGTGCATAGTGGCGAGGTTGGTTCCGCCACAAGCATGTTAGTTAAATACTCATCCAAGGCAGCCCATGTGCAGAGACCCGCTAAAGAGCCAATAAGCCCCAAATAGTCTTTTTAAATGGCAATACACCCCAGGGCCATAGTCATGAGGAAGGAGGCTGGCAATCAGGCTCCTCCAAAAGCCGGGGGGCAAAGGGCAGCTTGTCACCTAACAATCCAGGGACAAAGGCATTTCGTCACACAGTGTATATATCACAGCTTGATGTGAGTTTATGGCAGTTTATACCACAGTTTACTGAGATTTTTAAATGGCAGTATACATCTCAGAACACTCTGAGTTACATGTATATATGAGACTCGGTTATGTAGGCTCTGTACAGGGTGTATACAGAGCTAATTTTGCTAGTTAGTGTTAGGATTGATGTGTGTTACAAACTGCCATTTGTAACTGTTATTTTATTTGACAAATTGCCCTGCTTCCCTGTGTTATGGAGAAGCCTAATTGCCAGCCTTCTGCCCCATGACTATGGACCTAGTGTGTATGGCGATTTGACTGTATTTGTGGGATCTGAGCGCTGTTTGGATATATTGAGCGCTCAGATCCAAGCCATCTGGGGATAGGTTGAATGTGGGGGTTCTGTTCAGTTCAATAGGAGTTATGTATTTTTGGGTCTTTTTGTGTCTTTTGCTAACATGTAGTTAATGGAGTCTGCCTCTATCCCTGGATAATTGGATTACTTTCCCCATTGTCCAGGATAGAGGCCTCTGTAAAACTGGTTTGTGCCAGAAAACCATGCTGCCAGCCAGGCCCCAAAAGACACTTTTGCTAACTTTTGAACCCCTTGTCTGATTTGTGCCATTTTTTAATATATTGCTCCCCTTAATGGATTGATTCCAAATATGTAATTTTTATGAAGATTGGATGTGTAGTTTGGAAGTTATAGTACATGTATAAAAACTGTATTTTTACTGTTCTGTTTTAATTATGTTATGTGATTATCTGAGGGATGGGAATTTCCCCGAATGTATATTGTTCCGATTGGTTATACTGCTAATTATGTGGGTGTCTCCCTTGCATGGGCAGAATCTCATAAAAGCAGAGTGTGTGCCATTAAACATCAGATCTTCTTGACCCTCAATACGTAGCCTTGTCTCGTTATTGGAGGGAACTGCTATATCACACTGGGGATTGCTATGCTCTGCATATTCCCCTGAGCTTTTAATCACTTAGCTCTTTTAAGAGCTGTTCCTGTTACGCTCTCCTGGAGGAGAGGTCTTCCCCACACGGTCCTGGAGGACAGAAGCTGATCCAGGGTGGAAGGAAGACGGCGAGACTCCAGTTAAGCTACGGCGGTTGTGGAGTCTGCGGTGGTTGTGGTGTCTGCTGCAGTGTTTGGAGTCCTCAGGAAGCGCTAGGAGCATCCATCAACGGAGGGTACTCGGTCGGAGTACAGGGAGCTCCGTTACAATGTGCTTTACAGTATATACATTCTGGTCACCATCGTCCACTTTGGCACCTTTGGCACCTTCGCCCACTTTGGCACCTTCGGCACCTTCGCCCACTTTGGCACCTTCGCCCACTTTGGCACCTTCGGCACTTGGGCACCTTCTGCACCTTTAGCACCATTGGCACTTTGGCACTTGGGCACCTTTGGGCACCTTTGGCACCTTGGCACCATCAGCACTTTTTGGCACCATAGGCACCTTCGGTAATTTGGCACCTTCGGCACCTTGGCACCATCAGCACTTTTTTGCACCATAGGCACCTTCGGTAATTCGGCACCTTCAGCACCTTTGGCCCCTTCAACACTTTGGCACCTTCTGCCACTTCAACACTTTGGCACCTTTGGCCCCTTCTGCACTTCGGCACAATCAGCACTTTGGTACCTTCGGCACTTTGGCACCATCGGCACTTTTTGGCACCTTTGGCACCTTCACCCACTTTGGCACCATCAACACTTTGGATCCCTTCGGAACTTTGGCACCTTCGCCCACTTTGGCACCCACTTCCATATGCAGGTTGAGATTACCTAACTCACACCCACTCTTTGTGTACCACACAGATATTATATTAATAAGCATTTGAAGATTTATTGTGTATGTATAGCACGGTTGTCTAGTGGTGTATACATAAACAGTGAAAACAGAGTCTTCCTATAGGGTTTACAATACTGACAGTCTGGGTCATAGGTGTAATGCAGACATACGGTTAGGTACTTTTCCATTGTCAGAATACATTGAAAACACTAATATATTGCAAATATTAAAATCATATTGCAGCTTTTTCCTATACCTGCAAGAATATGGTTGTCAAAAGTCTAACCACAAAAACTACATTGGACACCTTCGGCACATTCGGCACTTTTGCACCTTCGCACCTTCGCCCACTTTGGCACCTTTGGCACCAAAGTGCCAAAGTGGACGAAGGTGCCGAAGGTGATAAAGAGGGCGAAGGTGCCAAAGTGGCCAAAGGTGCCAAAGTGGCTAAAGTGCTGAAGGTGCCAAAGTGCTGAAGGTGCTGAAGGAGCCCAAGTGCCAAAGTGGACGAAGGTGCCAAAGGTGCCAAAGAGGGCGAAGGTGCCAAAGTGGGCGAAGGTCCCAAAGTGCCAAAGTGTCGATGGTGCCGAAGGTGCCAAAGGTGGTGAAGTTGTCGAAGGTGCCAAAGTGGGCGAAGGAGCCGAAGGTGCCAAAGTGCCGAATGTGCCAAAGTGGGCGAAGGTGCCGAAGGTGCCACATGTGCCAAAGGTGCCAAAGTGGCCAAAGCTGCTGAAGTCCCAAAGGTGCCAACGGTACCAATGGTGCCAAAGGTTCCCAAGTGCCAAAGGTGCCGATGGTGCCAAAGTGCCGATGGTGCCATAGTGCTGAAGATGCCAAATTGCCGAAGTGCCAAATTGGGCGAAGGTGCCAAAGTGCCAAAATGCCGAAGGTGCCAAAGTGGGCAAAGTTGCAGAAGGTGCCAAAGTGCCGATGTTGCCAAAGGTGCCCAAGGTGCTCAAGGTGACAAAGGTGCCAAAGTGGGCAAAGGTGCCAAGGTGCCAAAGTGCCGATGGTGCCAAAGTGCCGAAATGCCAAAGGTTGGGCAAAGGTGCCGAAGTGCCGTGCCATGGTGCCGAAGAAAGTGCCAAAAGCCAAAGTGCCGAAGTGCCAAATTGGGCGAAGGTGCCAAAGTGCCCAAAGTGCCGAAGGTGCCAAAGTGGGCGAAGTTCCCGAAGGTGCCAAAGTACCGAAAGGTGTGCCAAAGGTGCCAAAGTGTGCCAAGTGTGCCAAAGGTGCCAGTGCCGATGGTGCCAAAGTGCTGAAGATGCCAAAGTGCTGAAGATGTCAAAGGTGCCCACGTTCCAAAGTGGGCCGAAGGTGCAAAGGTGCCAAAGTACCGAAGGTGCCAAAAGTGTGCAAAAAATGTGGGCGAAGGTGCCAAAGTTGTGCCGAAGGTGCCAAAGTGCCGAAAAGGTGCCAAAGGTGCCAAAGTGCCAAAGTGGGCCAAAGAAGGTGCCAAAGGTGCAAGGTGCCAAAGTGGGCGAAGATGCCAAAGTTGCCGAAGTGCCAAATTGGCCAAGGTGCCGAAGGTGGATATGCCAATATCCCGAAGGTGCCAAAGTGGGCGAAGGTGCAAAGGTGCTGCTATGTAGATATGAATATCCATTTCACTCTCTATCCTACCTGTTCATATAAGGGTTAATGTGAACCAAGAATAAATTTGGAATTGTATCTTCAATTCTGGGAAGAATTTATCTAATATCATTTACGAGAATGACCATACTGATTTTCGAAATGTTCTTGTTAATTGTCCAAGATTTTGGTATTTGTAAATAAGGGGTTAAACTCATTTTTGTTAAGCATATAAAATTTAGTTTTTGTGGTTAGACTTTTGACAACCATATCCTTGCAGGTATAGGAAACAGCTGCAATATGATTTTAATATTTGCAATATATTAGTGTTTTCAATGTATTCTGACAATGGAAAAGTACCTAACCGCATGTCTGCATTACACCTATGACCCAGACTGTCAGTATTGCAAACCCTATAGGAAGACTCTGCTTTCATTATTTATGTAAACACCCCTAGACAACCGTGCTATACATACACAATACATCTTCAAATGCTTATTAATATTATATCTGTGTGGTACACCAAGAGGGGTACACAAAGAGGGGGTGTGTGTTAGGTAATCTCGACCGGCATATGGAAGTGGGTGCCAAAGTGGGCAAAGGTGTCGAAGGTGCCAAAGTACCAAAGGTGCAAAAGTTACCAAAGGTGCCAAAGTGCCAAAGTGGGCAAAGGTGCCAAAGATGCCAAAGTGGGTGAAGGTGCCAATGTTCCGAAGGTGCCAATGTGTCTAGGTGCCAAAGGTGCCAAAAAGTGCTGATGGTGCCAAAGTGTCGAAGGTACCAAAGTGCAGAAGGGGCCGAAGGTGCCAAAGTGTTGAAGGTGCGAAGGTGCCAAAGTGACGAAGGTGCCAAAAAGTGACGAAGGTGCCAAAAAGTGCCAAAGGTGCAGACGGAACCAAAGTGCTGATGGTGCCGAAGGTGCCAAAGGTACCAAAGTGCTGATGGTGCTGAAGGTGCTGAAGGTACCAAAGTGCTGATGGTGCCTAAGTTCCGAAGGGGCCGAAGGTGCCAAAGTGTTGAAAGTGCCAAAGTGGACGAAGGTGCCAAAGGTGCCAAGGTGCCAAAGGTGCCAAAGGTGCCAAGGTGCCAAAGAGCCGAAGGTGCCAAAGTGCCAAAGTGGGCGAAGGTGCTGAAGGTGCCAAAGTGGGCAAAGGTGCTGAAAAAGCAAGATATACCGAGCGATACCTTCTTAAATTGTGAATTGGCATGCACAAGCACCTACCGATCCGTTTGAGATTTCTTATCTATATATAATAGATCATCATCATAGCACCTGAAGGGTATAATACCAATGGTCTCTTTTAGGAGTAGGATTAAACCATAGTCAACTCAATGAATCTCCCCATAGAAGCTGATAAAATGGAATAGTATCAACATAGACTGGTCTTCCATACCAGTTGGAGCCAGAGTTAGGTCTGTTTAGCTTTTAATACATGCCATGGACAGCGACTTATACCAGAGTAGTCTCATCTGAAACCCAGAGCTGGACCAGAATGTATATACTGTAAAGCACATCAATCTTAATACTAGCTAGCAAAATTAGCTCTGTATACACCCAGTAAACTGTGGTATAAACTGCCATAAACTCACATCAAGTTGTGATATATACACTGTATTGCAATCTGTGATCTAAACTGTGATATATTCATAGACAGAAAAAACAGTGATCAGATGAACTGTATAAGTTCTTGACAGAGAATACAGTGATTTGATGCACTGTATAAATTCATAGACATAGAGAATACAGTGATTTGATGCACTGTATAAATTCATAGACATAGAGAATACAGTGATTTGATGCACTGTATAAATTCATTGACAGAGAATACAGTGTGATTTGATATAAACGGCATGTCAGTGATTTGATATAAACAGCATGTCAGTGATTTGAAATCAGCCAGTGAATCCTAGCAGGGCAACAATAGGCGAGAGCTGGTCACCGTGGGTGGATGAGGGCCGCGAGCAGGCGCACCCTCCTCTTGCCGGTCTGACGCCCGCGGCTCCTAGAGAGAGCCGATCGTGGTGAGGCGGCCACGTGCGGGAGCTCCTTAGAAGGAGCCGATCGCGGAGAGGCGGCCATGTGCGCGGGTGCCGCCTGGTACTCGTGTCCGACCGCGAGTACCCCGGAAGGCTCACAAAGGAGCTCGGGGAATCAGAGGAGGCAGCCAGGAGGCTAGTCTCCAGAAACCCCGAGAGAACCACTTGTTGCCCGCGGTTAGCAAGGGCGGAACAAGTAACAGAAAGGTGTTAGCGAGTGGGGTAGCAGGGGTGGGAGGGATAAAAGCAAAGGGACCAAACCGAATAGGTATCTCCAGGAACCCCCAAAAAACAACCACAAAGTCAGCGAAAATCTCACCAAAGAAAGCCAGGGGAAGCAAAGAAGAGCCAAAAGGGCACAGTCCCAAAAAAACAAAGCATAATAATAAAACATGATGAAAATAAATCAATAAATCCCAAATAACCTAAATAAAGGTAAAATAAATCATAGTAAAACATGATTAATATAAGTAATCAATAAATCCCAAAGCCACCCACTAGAAGCAGGAGGCAGTGGTACTCTGACCTGTACTGACTGCAGAGCAGCAAAGAAAGAGGAAATGATGCATGGGGAGGGGAGTTTTATAGTACCTAACTTTTTTCTGATTGGTTGTTTTTCTGTGCTGCTGTGGAGTTCTAGTAAAGAGAGACTTAAGCAAATACGAAGCCTCCTGTCATGTTATAAAATCATAATTTCTAGCCAAGGATAGATGTAAAAAAATCTATTTTCTTTTCTATTATGTGTAATATACATTAAAAATTTGATTTTTGACAATTAAAATATAGCGAGTTGTGTTTGCCTCCTGGCAGGGCCGCCATCAGGGGGTGACAGCCATGACGGTTGTCAAGGGCCTGACTTTCTTTCTCTGCACACATAGATAGCGAATATCGCGATCAATGTGTGCAGCCGCGGGCCCCCGGCTCCCTGTTACCATAGAGGGGGCCCAGGCAGCACACTGCTTCTCCTCTTCTCTCTTCTAATAACTCTCACGAGACCTGGTTACCATGGCAACGCTCCACGGGTCTCACGAGAGTTATTAGAAGAGAGGAGAAGAGAAGAAGAGAAGCAGTGTGCTGCCTGGGCCCCCTTTGTGGTAACAGGGAGCCGGGGGGCCCCCCATGCCACCGGACCACCAGGGATCATGGAATCTCTCCCCTACCTGGACACAGGTAAGCAGGGAGGGTGGAATAACATTTAATTAAATTTAATAAAAAATTAATGTGAAAAATGACGCTATTCAAGTGTTTGTTCTGTGCATCAAAGCACACAGATAAAATAACTTTTTCAGCGCAGTGGCGGATCCGGGGGGGCAGGGGGGCGCAATGGGGCAATTGCTCCCCCGTTCCCCCAAGAAAACCGAGGGTCTCCCTCTCCCCTGCCGGCTTATGCAGGGCCGGCTTATGCAGGACTGCACCCCTTACACATTGCACCACTCACACCACTGCTCCTATGCCCTACTACAGCCCCATTTCCCAGCAGACCTCAGGTAAGTGGTCAAATTGTTATTAAACGGTTTGACTACTTACTCTGGGAGGGGGTCCCCGCACTATTGACACCATAAACGCTACACTGAGCTGTAGTGGTTATTGTGTCTGGATTATTGCTTTAAATAATCTACAAGTGTCCCTCTCGAGATCAGGCTCTGGATCAGCCACTGTCTCAGCGGCACCTTACTGCGTAACAGAGAAGAGTCTAGTCTGCACCTCTGCTGGGTGCAGGCAGAGAGTATTTCTCTCACAAGCTTTGGCAATTCAGAATGTTTTCACGGCTTATCATGGCAATGCTCTGTTGCCACATAGTGCTAGGGCTTGCAAGACAAGCATACTCAGCCTGTATATACTCTCCCAAATACACACACTAAATCTCATAAACACAAAACATTCCATATGTACACACACACACAAGCTACAGGCACAGCCACACATCCTACACACATGCATTCCCACAAGGAGCCTACAAATGCATGCACAATACCACTTGCTGGCTACTTTGCCTTTCTGGCATCCCACTTATGGAGACACCAATGACAAGTCACCAGCAAAGACACAGCACAATCGTGTCATTAAATTTGCTTGTGCTGCACAAAAGAAACACAATGCCTTTTACCATTAGAAAGCTCTTTAGCGGGTCTCTGCTAACATGCTTGTGGCGGAACCAACCTCGCCACTATGCACTGGAGAAGCTTAGTTGCTCGCCTGCTCCCTTTAGACTATGGCCCTGCAGTTCAGACCTGTTATTTTCCCTGCTGAAAAGTTTATTCGTGCCTTTCTGCCAGGGTGTTCGGTAGATTCAATCTACCGAACGATGGATCACCTGGGAACTGGAGTGTGCCGTCAATTGACCGCCCAGAAGCTGCGGTTAACCGCAGCTTAATTGATGAACGCTGGGTGGCCTTTGTTCGGTTGCCGAACACGTGGCAGCGGCCATTTTACCTCCCGAACGGCCAGCGGTGTTCAGCGCCCAAACTATGGAACTGAAAACGGACACTTATTGGCGCGAACACCGCTGAGCCGCCAGCCTCCTTACCTCTCCATTCGGTAGCGGAACCGAATGACGGTTCATTTGGTAGTTTAACCGGATGAACAGCATCACCCCAGATAGCTAAGCCATGGAGCCTATTAGTGTAACGAAAGACTATGTGAAAGACTTTGGCTCCATGGCGATTGAACTGTATGTATGTGATCTGAGCGCCATTCGGTAGTAATGTGCGCTCAGATCTAAGCTATCTGGGGATATGTAGAATGTATATGTAATAAATGTAACTGTATGTAATTTTATGTCTTTTACTGTCTTTTTACTGCCATGCGGTTAATGCAGTTTTGCCTCTGTCCTTGGAGATAATTGGATTACTTCCCAATTATCTCCAGGACAGAGAGGAGGGATTGTGATGCATTGTGGGATTGTAAGCTTGTGATTGGTTAATGTCCAATATGTTTCCCAATTTCCCATCTGGTCTCCTAGAGGAGTGTCCACCAGGTGGGAGACCTGCGTAAAAGCCGGGCAGTTAGCCCCAGTAAACCAGATTCTGCTTGACCTTCAAAACAAAGTGTCGTTTTGGGGGGATTTACTGTATGCTGTTAGAGACTGATTGCCAGGAGTGTAAGCCGCTTGGGTGCTTTTCCTGTTCGTCTGCTAACAGCTATTCGTGTGTCTCCAGTTCGGGAGTTTGGAGTGCTACTTGGTATGCAGTTCGGGAGTTTCGAGTATTCCCTTGGTTGCATTTCGGGAGTTGGTGAATTCGTGGGTTTGCAGTTCGGGAGATTGGTGCTTGCAGTAGCTGTCTGTACATCTGAAAAAGGGGAATATCCCCTAAACGGTTTTTAATCTCTTGTGGGCGAAAACGGTCCGTTACAATGCTCATGTTTACAACAGTGGCGTAAACACGACCCATGGGGCCCCAGTGCGAAAATTAATTTGTGGGCCCCCCACCCCCCGACCCCTACGACTGCGTTATGTACGTCAGTGCATGCAGATACACATATACTTAAAGGACCACTACAGACACCCAGATCACATCAGATCAATGAAGTGGTCTGGGTGCCAGGTCCCTCTAGTTTTAACCCTGCAGCTGAAAGGTTTCACTGAGGGTTAATCCAGCCTCTAGTGGCTGTCTCACTGACAGCCGCTAGAGGTGCTTCTGTGATTCTCTCTGTGAAAATCACAGTGAGAAGACGCTGGACGTCCATAGGAAAGCATTTCCTATGGGCGGTTTGAATGTGCGCATACACACAGAAAACCTGTACAGGATATAACAGTTAAGAAATGTTATAGGCAGAGGAATAAAAGCCAGGCTATAGGTGGATATGTATTAATTGGTCTCTGTTTTATCAGTAGGTAGAGAATGAACATTGTACAGCAGTAGAGTTGAGAGGACACCTGGATGTTCGCGTACGCCGGGTTCGGACGAACTTCGGCAAAAAGACGCATACACACTAGCTAACAGACACACATTTAGTGACAGACATACATACACACTCACTGACAGACACAAATACACACTCACTTACAAAACATACACTCTCACTAACAGACACGCAAACTAACACACTCAGTAACAGACACACACAGTAACACATTCACTGACACACACACACAAACTAACACACTCACTAGCAGACACACAGTAACACACACAAAAACTAACACACACACACATGCTAACACACATACACACTAGCACATTTTTTTTTAAATGTAATCCCCAGCCTCCCTACCTTTGGGAGTGCTGAGGGGATTCCCTGGGGTCCAGTGGGGCTGCATGGCGGCCAGTCCTGCGGGCGCGCAAAGGAGCACTCTCCCCGAGTGCTCTCTGCCCAGCTCCCTCACGTGCTGCTTACTGATGCCAGAGCCGGAATATGCCATCATAAGTGCAAAATTAAAGTGAGCTTGCAGAAGATGACAGAAGGTGTGGAGATAACCCTTACTTGTGACACAATTCCTCGATATCCTACAAACCTGCTAATTGCTTTCTACAGAGATGAAGAGATGGTTCAGGGGTTCAGTTCATCCAATAAGTACCAGGTTCAGTCAGCTCGGCTAGAGGACTCGAGAAATCATACCTGTGAGGTCAGAACATCGAACTACAATGCAAAGAAGAGAAGCAATATGTTACATATCAACATAATAGGTGAGTGGGGCATACAAATATATGCACAGGGTGGGAAAAAATTCAGAGTAAGGTTTGATGAGTCAATAACCTTTTTATTTGTGAACCAATTTCAATGATACTATGTACAATTAATGCTTATCGTATGAAGATTTGTTTGATGAAGTATCAAAGATGACATCTGATAAATGATCTTCATTTGCTACCCCACAAAGTTGGGCTCTTTTGATTGCATTGGTTTTAACATCAATTAAAGGACCACTCTAGGCACCCAGACCACTTCAGCTTAATGAAGTGGTCTGGGTGCCTGGTCCAGCTAGGGTTAACCCATTTTTTACTAAACATAGCAGTTTCAGAGAAACTGCTATGTTTATTAATGGGTTAAGCCTTCCCCCTATTCCCTCTAGTGGCAGTCTCAGTGACAGCCACTAGAGGCGCTTGCGTGCTTTACACTGTGATTTTCACAGTGAGAGCACGCCAGCGTCCATAGGAAAGCATTGTAAATGCTTTCCTATGCGACCAGCTGAATGCGCGCGCAGCTCTTGCCGCACGTGCGCATTCAGCCGGTGGGGCGTAACGGAGGATGAGAGGAGGCAGAGAGCTCTCCGCCCAGCGCTGGAAAAAGGTAAGTTTTTAACCCTTTCCCCCTTCCAGAGCCGGGCGGGAGGGGGACCCTGAGGGTGGGGGCACCCTCAGGGCACTATAGTGCCAGGAAAACGAGTATGTTTTCCTGGCACTATAGTGGTCCTTTAATGTTTGAGGTACATTTAAGAAAAGAAACACAGGAACTCCCAAAGGGGTTTGAAGACTTCCAGGAAGAACGCATTTTTATCTTCAATAAATAACCTGGCAAAAGTTTTAGAACCTCCTGGGTGGATTCTTTGTACTTAAAAGTCAGAGTTCCTTAGACTCACAAACTGCAAATAGCGAGAATGATTCAGATAACAGTTCAAGATTAGGGGGCTCACAAAACGCCAGAATAGGGAGATTTTATGTAACCTCAGAAATGTTTCTTTTTTTAGAACAGGACCCCCATTCACAACCCGTTCCAGAACAACTCAGGGAACAGAGACAATGGGGGGGGTCATGATAAACAAATAGTCAATCTATCAGACTTCAATCTAGAATCAAGACAGATTTCTATACTTCGATACTACGACAAGGGTTGTGCTTATTTCCAACACAACACTTTGACTGTTTTGACTAGGTTAATGATTTGTATCTCTTTTGCAGAAAGTTGGTCTCCATGGCTACTTCCAAAAGTGATGCGGCAGGGAGGCCCATCATGAAGAATTGATTTCTGTTCATGTTACGTCCTTAACCAGCTATGGCAACATTTTATTGTTTGCCAAAAGTCCACAAGGACTTGAAAAACATCTGGGATGACCAATCGTCTCAGGAAAGGGATGTCTAACTGACAACTGCAGTGTCTTTATGGACAGTATTCTGCATCCCCTAGTTTTGAGGTCACCATCTGTTTTGCTATGTTCTAGGATGCAAAGAATCATACCAATATGAATAAAATTAATTTTATTCAAAGCTCAAATATCATTAAAGAATATTTACAAAAGTTAAGTAAGACTACATCACCAATTAATACGCAACATTGAAAGCTCAATGTTGAAAGCTCTGGTGAGTCTTGGCCAGGAGTAAATTAATTGGTAAATTTCCAGCATATCTGCTCACAGGATAAAGTTTCTGACCAACAAAAATGGAAGTCCTAGCTTTTTAGAATCATACAAAAAGGGTTTCCTCTTTTTGTAGTTTCTAAAAAATACAAGGCACCAGTCCACCCCAAAGCGCTGGCCAGGTGGCCCAGAGAGAATTCAAGTTGTGTGAATCTCCTTGCACTTTGTTTGGAAGATTTTGGAACTCTGGGCAGGGTTCCCAGAATATTGCTAAATCATTGGATATTGTGTAATGTTTGAACAAAATAGCTTTAAAATGCGATGATCGATATCTATCCACACAATTAGCAATACACTATCATACATTCAGGACACCCAATTCACCAGAGAAAAGTTGTCACATCTTAAATGTACTGAGACGGGAGGGACGCGCAAAGCTCTTTCTCTGGCCGCCAGTGAGGTCCACAATTCTTCGGCGGCGCACCTAACTGCTCTTCCACTAACATTGTGTACCTTGCAAATTGATCTTGAGGTAGAAAATATGCAATTCCGCAGGAGGATTGTTCAACATGCCAATTCGATTCATACGCACCTGGATACACCAATTCTGTGACGTCTTTATAAAATTTTCACAATGGTGAAGCCTCAAACCTGTCATTACAGGCGATTGCAAAAAATCAAGCCTTCCCCAAAGGAGGGGGGTTATTTAAGTTTTAATTCCTTATGAAATTATTACATGTTATTAAAATTCTCATTCCTTTTGAAATTATGAAAAAAAGGAATCCAGATGGAATTATTAATTGAAAACCTTTGCCAATCATTAATGAATTACAACAATCTATATAGTCTTGTGTAAATCTTAAATTAATAGTTAAAAGTTTTTTATATTATCTTCTAGAACTGTTCTCTCCCCCCAAAATTAAAGTGAGCTTGCAGAAGATGACAGAAGGTGCAGAGATGACCCTGACATGTGACAAAATTCCACGATATCCTACAAACCTGCTCTTTGCTTTCTACAGAGATGAAGAGATGGTGCAGGGGTTTGGTTCATCCAATAGGTACCAGGTGCAATCATCTCAGGTGGAGGACTCTGGAAATTATATCTGTGAGGTCAGAACATCAAACAACAACATAAATAAAAGAAGTAATAAATCACATATCAACATAATATATGAGTACCTTTTGGAAACTTTTGTTTGGACTGATCATGTTATCTATAAAACTCTGTGTCCATATGGAATGAATTATATCAGCAAAGCTGACATGACAATAAATAAAAACAAACAACGGGCCACCACTCCTACCTTAGGACAGTCTACAGAGATCTGCATTTTCTACAAGATGGACACTAGTTTTCAAGCTCAAAGCGGTGGGTGGGGGCCTTAAATTAGAATAAGGGGTACCTAATGTCCTCCCGCCTGGCCCGCACCCCTGAGCGGCCCTAAATAAAAATTGGGGGGGGGGGGGGCTATTCCCGAGCCCCCACTCATGACGAGCCAGTGGGGACTTTTAATTTAAAGGGGGGGAACTATTGTCCTCCCGGTCCCCACCCCCGAGCGACGGGTGGGGGCCATAAAGTAAAATAATGGGGGGGGACCTATTGTCCTCTCCCCCAGCCTCCACCCCTGAGCGGCGGGTGGGGGCCCTAAATACCAATAAGGGGGTGACCTATTGTCCTCCCCCCTGGCCCCCACCCCTGAGCGGCGGGTGGGGGCACTAAATTAGAATAAGATGGGGGGACCAATTGTCCTCCCCCTGACCGCCACCCCTGAGCGGTGGGTGGGGGCCATAAATTAGAATAAGGGGGAACCTAATGTTCTCTCCCCTGGCCCCCACACTGAGTGATGGGTTGGGGCCCTAAATTAGAATAAGGTGGGGGGCCTAATGTCCTCCCCCTGGCCCCCACCCCTGAGCGGTGGGTGAGGGCCCTAAATAAAAATTGGGGGAGGCCTAATGTTCTCCCTCCTGGCCCCCACCCCTGAGCGTTGGGTGGGGGCCCTAAATAAAAATTGGGGGGGACCTAATGTCCTACCCCCTGGCCCCCACCCCTGAGCAGTGGGTGGGGGCCCTAAATTAGAATAAGGGGGGGACCTAAGGTGGGGGACCCTGAGCGGTGGGTGGGGGCCCTAAATTAGAATAAGGTGGGGGGACCTATTGTCCTCCCCCTGGCCCCCACCCCATGAGCGGTGGAAGGGGGCCCTAAATAAAAAAAATTCAACCGGGGCCCCCATCTTGAGCCCCCACTCGTGACGTGCCAGTGGGGACTTTTAATTTAAAGGGGGGAACTATTGCCCCCCCGGCCCCCACCCCTGAGCGGCGGGTGGGGGCCCTAAAGTAAAAAAAGGGGGGAGGACCTATTGTAAAATAATGGGGGGGGGACCTATTGTTATTTTTTTTTAAGTGTGTCAGTTATAATGGATTTTTATTTGGCCTTTTTTTTTTAGCAGAAAAAATATGATTTTAGAAGAAAGAAAACATCAAATGGTAAGTTTTATTTTATTTTTACAGGTACTTAGTTAAAGGTCCCCCCCCTCATTATTTTTAGGGTGAGGGGGGTAGGTAGGAGTTATATTTTTTTGGGGGTGGGGGTGACTAGTGGTTTGGGGACCCCTGGTCACCTGGGGGGTTACATTTTTATTTAGGGCCCCACCCGCCGCTCAGGGGTGGGTGCCAGGGGGAGGACAATAGGTCCCCCCTAATTGGTATTTAGAGCCCCCACCCACCGCTTAGGGGTGGGGGCCAGGGGGGAGGACATTAGGTGTCCCCCCCCAATTTTTATTTAGGGCCCCCACCCGCCGCTCAGATTCCCCCCATTGGTATTAAGGGCCCACACCCACCGCTCACGTGTGGGGGTCAGGGGGAGGACATTAGGTCTCCCCCCCAATTTTTATTTAGGGCCCCCACCCACCACTCACGGGTGCGGGCCAGGGGGGAGGACATTAGGGAGGACATTAGGTACCCCCTTATTCTAATTTATGGCCCACACTCGCCGCTCATGGGTGGGGGCCAGGTGGGGGTCAGGGGGAGGACAATAAGTCCCCCTCTTATTTGAATTTAGGGCCCCCACCCACAGCTCATGGGTGGGCACCGGGGGGAGAACAATAGGTCCTCCCTTAGTTTACTTTAGGGCCCCCACCCGCCGTTCAGGGGTGGGGGCTTAGGATGGGGAACCCTTTTTATTTATTTTTTTAAACAGTGAGCAGTCATAGGCTGCTCACTGTTTAATAGATATGCCCCTACTCACTGTATAGCGAGTAAGGGCATAATTTACGAATACTAAGTAATGGTATTAGTAAATTTGTCTGAAAGACCAATTCAGGTCTTATAGCCTTTTCATTCCTGTCATTACATTGACTGGCTTAGTAACTTAGCCCTTACCAGGACATTTTAGAGCCATTTTAGTGCCCAAAAGTTCGGGTACCCATTGACTACAATGTGGTTCGGTTTCGGGGTCAAGTTCGTCCGAACCCAGCGTACGCGAACATCCAGGTGTCCTCTCAACTCTACTGCTGTACAATGTTCATTCTCTACCTACTGATGAAACAGAGACCAATTAATACATATCCACCTATAGCCTGGCTTTTATTCCTCCGCCTATCACATTTCTTAACTGTTATATCCTGTGCAGGTTTTCTCAATATCTATTATCTTCTTCCTTTGTTCAAACAAGACTGTCCTTTTGGATTAAATTCAAAGTTTGAAAGGTATGCTGAAGGCGCGAGGAAGTGTGTTTTTAGCTTTATCAGTACTGGTACTTTTTCACTTGTGTTCAGCAACACTGACATCTTGTGGTCACACTTTTAATTACATTAATACAAATTAGGTTTTACTCTTGAAAATATGGTCAGCGGAATTATATCCCTCTACTAATCCAAGATGAATCATAAAGTTTAATTTATATTCTTTTCTTTCAGTTTGTCATAGTCTCATAAACTGTTGTCTGGTTAATCCAGCAAATTTTAAATTTTCTGTGGTATACCTCCATAAACCCATACAAAAATACTGAGAAACTCTCACCACCTCCTACTACTCTCTTAGAAAAGGAAAGATAATGGCATTACTAGTTGGCCTTTTACCTCCTTATCTATTGTGTTTTTTGCAAGGTGTGCTAAGAGTCCCTGATATTATGGTATATAGCATGGTCAGGTTGGGGTGTAAGAATCTCATCATTATATAATGTGCCAGGGAGAATCCCGTTATTTCTCAATAATCCCAATGTATCAACAGTCCTAAATTTTATCTCTATACTTTTGTTTTCTATTCTTTGGGGACTAAATAATCACCAGGTTTGACTTGTTTTTATAGAAACTTGTTTTAGTTCTTCTCAGCCAGAATCACTTTCTTACAAAGTATATTGTATTTATTTTTTAACTTTTGTGCAATTTCAAATCTCATTCCCAATATTTTCCATTTCACTATTTGTGTTTTGTACTTTTATTGTGAGTGCCCCTACAGTAACATCAATAGCCGTATATTAGATACATTGTAATCTCTATGTGAGCTCCTCACTGGGACTGGTATCTCCAGGGGTTAATTATGCATTAACCTTCCACACACTGCACATGAGGTGAAGAATATGGTGTGAGTCAATAGTCAGGCCTCTAGTCAGTAATATTGGGTCCCAGAGGACGCCACTTTTTATTTAATTTTATCATTTCCATCAACAGAAATAGCCAGTCGGCTTTGTCTGCGAACTGATCATCTCCCAATGGGATGTGTGGGAGGTTTGTAATTGTGAATTAGATTTTTACGTCTTTTCACCAGGCAGTGTCAGGTTTCTTATGTGTGAAGATAGCGTCAGCTGATAAAATTCAATAACAAGTGTGAATCGGGCGTAACTAGCCACTAACGACTTCCATTATACTCTATGAAAGCCATTAACAGTAAAGTCAGTAATTCCCAGTTGCTAATGGTAAGATTTTCCAGTTGGGAAACAGACAATACTCACTAAGGTTTAGCTTATAATGGTTGGTCCGTAAAACGTACCAGCAACGTTGGAAACAAACTCCAAATCCTAACAAGATGCTTCCTATGGTCAGTTATAAAATATTATTCTCAGTGTTTGATCTCTCCAGATCCATGCCGGTCATTTTAAAATTTCTAATCTTTCTTTTTCACGGTTTCAATCCCATCCATCAGAATATAGTGAGAATGACGCTTTCTGTGTGTGTATTAATTATAGCATTTAGTTTCATCATCTATCACATGAAGACTAGAGAAATCACAGCACATGGAGAGAGAGAGTGAAGAACACACACAATACCAGCTTGGCGTGATCATCAAAGACAATGTCACCTATTGCATCTACTGTGACCCTACTAGAAATATCCAGGCATTGTGTGGAATGTCCACCTAGAGTTGTCAAGGCATTATACATAATGTACCAAAGTGAGCTTAGTACAATCTGGATATAACGTCCAGACTCTACTAATCAAATGAGTGGAGCGCTAAAGGTATAAACTTACCCTAAAGTAGGGTTAAATCTCAGATGTATATCAGTACATATAAAGGAAACGAAAAATAAAACACAATATAGTGTAAATCCACAGGTGGTAATGTATTTTGGTGATAATTCAAGTAGTCAAACTCACATTGATCACAGCCTCAAAGGGACAGGCTCAAATCACTTGCACAGTAATGTCGTATGGAGACACTGCACCCTTTTGCTTGGAATGGATTTCCTCAAAGTAGAGAGAAAGGGAGACTTCCTAGTGTATTAATTTTCAACAAAAATAAAAGACACATTGGGTATGGTTGTGCTCACCTTTTCCTGAGCCAATGAGAACCTGGCTCTGGATGATAGACCTGGGTACCTCTAGAGGGGGGCACCTGCCCTTCTTTAGCAGCAAGATGAAGTTACATAATGTACACATTAATGAGTCATGTCATTTAATAGAATGTCCATATAAATGCTTCTAGGCATTATATATGTGTATATAAACTTGTCTCCGCATTCTATAGAATGTCCGTATAATTATATTTGGGCATTATATAGAAAGTCCAGCTAAACCCGTCTGTAATAGAAGCTGCACACAAGAGCATAATGTATTGTAAAATGGGCATCATCGTTCATAAAGCAGATGGAGTAATGTGTGTTTGGGGTAGTTGAGCAGGCAGAGTGTTTAGGGTTACAGCCAGTGGTGTACATACCAGGGTCGCAGGGGTCGTAGTTGCGACCGGGCCCGGCCCACCAGGGGGCCCGGCCGCCCCTGCGACCCGGTATGTACCCACAGGGCCAGCCTCTTCCCCTGGGGGGCCCAGGAGCCGGCCACCTCAGGGCTCCCCGAGGCTGGCCCTGCTGTCACACACACACTCCTGGGCGGGTGGCCGGTCGGGCAGGCGGGCGCATGAGGGAGCACTCAGTGCTTCCTCTTCAGCTCCCTCGTGCACCGCACTGATACCGGAGCCGGAAGATGACGTCATCTTCCGCGCCGGTGTTCTATCACTCTGCTATACTCCGTCAGATTGCTATACCCCCGTCACTTCCAGAGAGGGGAATCAGCTGTCTCCTGTGCTGCACATGCGTGCTATCACTCCTGCTACTCCTCCACAGCAAGGTCCTGGAAGGTAAGTAAAACTAGTTTTACACTTTCATTATAGTTAGTGCATTCACTATGCATAGGACATGACACATTTAGGGTTAAGTGAGGGTACAAATTAGGGTTAGGTAAGTGCTTCTAACCTCTCTCACACTCTATTCTTACCCTAACCCTTGGGGTAAGGGTTATAATAAAGTGTGAGAAATCACTATTTAGTGATATTCCCCTAATGTGATATCACTAAATATGAACAGGTCCCTAATCCTAACCCTAATTTGAACCCTAACATTAACCCTAAATGTCCCATGTCCTAAGCGTAGTGAATGCACTAACTATAATGAAAGTGTAAAACTAGTTTTACTTACCTTCCAGGACCTTGCTGTGGAGGAGTAGCAGGAGTGCTAGCACGCATGTGCAGCACAGGAGACAGCTGATTCCCCTCCCTGGAAGTGACGGGGGTATAGCAATCTGACGGGGTATTGCAGAGTGATAGAACACCGGCATCCCTACGCGGTGCGCGAGGGAGCTGAAGAGGAAGCACTGAGTGCTCCCTCGCGCGCCCGCCTGCCCGACCGGCCACTCGCACAGGAGCCCAGGAGCCCAGCAGCACCACTGGACCCCAGGGAATCCCCCCAGCACTCCAAAAGGTAAGGAGGCTGGGGGGATTAAATTTAAAAACAAAAAAAAAACAAAAAAAAACGTGTTAGTGTTTGAGTGTGAGTGGTAGTGTTAGAGTGAGTGTTAGAGTGAGTGTTAATGTGAGTGTTAGTGTGTGTGTGAGTGTTAGTGTGTGTGTTACTGTGTGTGTCTTACTGAGTCTGTTTGATGTCTGTTAGTGAGTGTGTGTTTGTCAATGAGAGTGTATGTTTTGTAAGTGAGTGTGTGAGTGTGTATGTATGTCTGTCGCTGAGTGTGTCTCTGTCAGTAAATGTGTGTGTCTTCAGCACTTACCTTTCTCCAGCGCCGGACTCCCTTGGCGCTGGGGATCCCTCAGCCTCTCAGCTCCGAATGAGACCGCGCACGCATTCAAACCGCACATAGGAAAGCATTACTCAATGCTTTCCTATGGACGTTCAGTGTGCTCCTCTAGCAGCTGTCAGTGAGACAGCCACTAGAGGCTGGATTAACCCTCAGTGAAACATAGCAGTTTCTCTGAAACTGCTATGTTTTCAGCTGCAGGGTTAAAACTAGAGGGACCAGACACCCAGACAACTTCATTGAGCTGATGTGATCTGGGTGTCTGTAGTGGTCCTTTAAAGGACCATTATAGTGCCAGGAAAACATACTCGTTTTCCTGGCACTATAGTGCCCTGAGTGTGCCCCCACCCTCAGGGACCCCCTCCTGCCCGGCTCTGGAAAGGGGAAAAGGGGTAAAACTTACCTTTTTCCAGCGCTGGGCGGAGAGCTCTCCTCCTCCAATCCTCCTCTTCTTCTCCCCGTCGGCTGTATGCGCACGCGCGGCAAGAGCTGCGCGCGCATTCAGCCGGTCACATAGGAAAGCATTCATAATGCTTTCCTATGGACGCTGGCGTGCTCTCACTATGAAAATCACAGTGAGAAGCACGCAAGCGCCTCTAGCGGCTGTCAATGAGACAGCCGCTAGAGGAAATAGGGGAAGGCTTAACCCATTCATAAACATAGCAGTTTCTCTGAAACTGCTATGTTTATGAAAAAATGGGTTAACCCTAGCTGGACCTGGCACCCAGACCACTTCATTAAGTTGAAGTGGTCTGGGTGCCTAGAGTGGTCCTTTAAATGTGTGTGCATCTGCATGCACTGGCGTACATACCGCGGTCGCAGGGGTCGCAGCCCTGTAACCCCTGCGACCAGGTGCCCACCACCATGTGTTGCGGCATGGCCCGCACGCTGGGGGGGGGCCCACTGATCAATTTTCGCACCGGGGCCCCATGGGTCATGTGTACGCCACTGGTTACAGCTATATAAAATGTCTAGATTTAAACATCGCCTTTAACCTGTGAATGTATGGTGGAAACTAGACTCCCTAAAAAAAGTCTTAATAGAACGCTTCAAACACCATAACCACAACAGAGTACAATAATGGTTATGGTGCCAAGAGTACCCTGTATCCCTTTTTTGTAAGTAGCCAAACTGTTTTAGAATGGTTTGACAACTTACCTGAGGTCTATTGGGAACTGCACCCCACCTCACTGCAGCCTTACAAGAGCCAGAAATTCCTACGTAGGAATCCAGGGCTAACTCACAGGCTCAGAGCGTAGGCTGATAACTTTCAGCCAATGAGCCAAGTCCTGTTTAGCCAGGCTGAGCACAAAGTAAAATCTTTTAGCTAGAGAGGGGGCTGCATTGGAGGCTGTAATAAAAGGGTTCGAGTACTTATATTGTGGTGGATCAGTGCAGTTATGGCTGGTATTTGGGGGAATTCCAATTTACAAAATATACCAGCAGATTATAAATATATCTGTATATGGGTGAAGACCAAGAATCTAAAATACCAGACGCAATACGACATGGCCATTTCAAAATGGAACAGGCAGCTCGTGTTGTTTGTGTGTTTCTTTGTTCATTGGTAGCACGTAACACTATTCTTTATGCGCATCTTAGTGCGTTATCTCTTCTGGTTATGTAGGCACATGCATTTCTATCGTGAGCTGAGGTAGTCTCCGGTTATTTGTAGTATTTATGTTGCTAGAGGTTCTTTACCTTTTGGTATTTGCAAGCTCATTATCATAAGGAGTTTAGAATATTTGTAGAGAACACAACACATATATCAAAAATAGGATAACGAATATTGATAAAAAAAGGGGCACCATCAATCCTCTGAAGGATAAAGGGACAAAATATAACAAGCACAGGCTGTGACAAAATATAAGAAAATGGGGAAATTATGAAATAAGTCTAGAGGGACACAGTCCAAAATTTTCACAGTTCTGCCAGATGCTGTTGCTTCATGCCTTGCAGTTTCATGGACACATGTGAAGAGTTGAAAAGAAAAAAAAAACATTGGTGTAGTATGTTCTAAATATGGGTAGGACACACAACAGAAGTGTATAGATTTACACTCACATGTGAAGGAGCTTACAACCAGTATAAATAGCGTACAGTGAAACAATACCTGCTGATTGATTAGTAGTAGTTACAATCTCTTCATCAGCGAGGCAAGGGTATCTAAAAAAAAAACAAAAAAAACAATCCATAGTGCTCTCTGGTGCAGTGAGTAAATAAATAGGAACATATAAATGTTCATTTTAAGGAACATATAAAATATATAAAAACAGTTACTATATCCATATATATATATATATATATATATATATATATATATATATTTATTTAATTATTTTAATGACCATACTCCAATGCAAATGGATGCCAAATAGAATTTATTGCAAATAAAATAAACATAAATATAATAAAATTAAACACAACGCATTTCGCCTTATCTGAGGCTCTCTCAAGTTTAAGTGCTCTTAAAAACCCCACTTTGAAGGATCCAAGACTTACCATTCCCACCTGATAGTCCACCACAGCTCCCCGGGACAAGAGAAGTTGGAGGCAAGAACAGGGAGACCTCGGCAATAATAGGTACTGCTTCATACACCTACATTCCAGTGGTTAACAACATATGAACACTATCCTTGAATGTAAAAAAAATAAATTAAAAAGACTACACACACTCCACAAGAGACACTTGGCATTCTCTAAATTCCCCCAACTCAACCCTGTGGTGATACGTTTACAGTAGACTCACTTTTGTATACGTAACGCTACCAATTCAATCTGCTAAATAGCCCCAAGCCTTCCAAGCCTATTCTAACACTAAGTCAAACGTAGTGTCGATCCTTTATCCTTACCATCCAATAGAAAAATACTGAGGAATTATACTTGGAATATTGAACAATGAGCAGATCACACTGAGGAATATATTAGCACTCAATGAAAACTGGTAAATATTCCTATCTAAATTTTTCAAAAAAGACTCTTCGCAATAGACGATTAATAGTTTGTGGTGACCATACCTGGACCCCTCTATAGATACTCAGTCAGTCCTCCATAAGTCTCCATCTCAAGGTAGCCAAGTAAACAACCTCATGATGTGTATGATATTTGGAGATCCTGTTGTCCCACCTAGAGGAACTATATGCTTTTTCCACCAGTTCATCACAGCTATTTCCGAATTGATCTTTGTCTGGTGGACAGCAATGTCTCAGCAGACAATGCTCTGGTTAGCTTTACCCTTACACTATCCTCATCAAATATAGATAGAGGAGCTTGTAGAATAAACAATTCACTGCTGAATGATCCATGTCACTCATCAAGAAAACAAAAAGCAATAGTGAAAAGGCACTCAAAAAGTGAAACTAAACAAAAATAGCTGCAAAAACTCAAAACGCTAAAAATAGCCATTTCTCCACACAGTAATATTAACAACAACTAACACATTATAGGGATGTGCTTGCACTCAAAAAGTGAAACAAAACATTTTTATGTCACTCACCAAATACGGGACTTCTCAGAACATAACCTCACCACACATACAGGACTCCATGTCACCCCATCTCATTAATAAACTCAACAAGAAGCTCTGTCCAAATATTCTGGCTGTTAGATTGAACAACAAGATACTTTTTAATACTTACACTATCCCTTGTAACTCTGTCATGCTGAAACAGGTATAGAATGAATTAACTCATTAAAAGTGATAGTATATCATATTTATAATGATTTAATCAAATTCCAGTTTCTTGTTAAATTTCAATGGCCTCTTTGAACATTTTGTTTTTCAGGTCAGAACTCATAAATAATATTAAAGCTGTTTCAGCACCCTGGACAGAAACCAGCATTAAGTGCTGTGTCCTATATGGAGCATCACATCCTCACTGTGTCTTTTATCTCCCATAATAGATCAGTTACTGTGTATTCTATCTCCCCTATTATATTAGTTACTGTGTATTCTATCTCCCCTATTAGATTAGTTACTGTGTATTCTATCTCCCCCTATTAGATTAGTTACTGTTTATTCTATCTCCCTATTAGATCAGTTACTGTGTATTCTATCTCCCCTATTAGATCAGTTACTGTGTATTCTATCTCCCCTATTAGATTAGTTACTGTGTATTCTATCTCCCCTATTAGATTAGTTACTGTGTATTCTATCTCCCCTATTAGATTAGTTACTGTGTATTCTATCTCCCCTATTAGATTAGTTACTGTGTATTCTATCTCCCCTATTAGATTAGTTACTGTGTATTCTACCACCCCTATTAGATTAGTTACTGTGTATTCTATCTCCCCTATTAGATTAGTTACTGTGTATTCTATCTCCCTATTAGATCAGTTACTGTGTATTCTATCTCCCCTATTAGATCAGTTACTGTGCATTCTATCTCCCTATTAGATCAGTTACTGTGTATTCCATCTCCCCTATTAGATTAGTTACTGTGTATTCTATCTCCCCTTTTAGATTAGTTACTGTGTATTCTATCTCCCTATTAGATTACTGTGTATTCTATCTCCCCTATTAGATTAGTTACTGTGTATTCTATCTCCCCTATTAGATTAGTTACTGTGTATTCTATCTCCCTATTAGATTAGATACTGTGTATTCTATCTCCCTATTAGATCAGTTACTGTGTATTCTATCTCCCCTATTAGATCAGTTACTGTGTATTCTATCTCCCTATTAGATTAGTTACTGTGTATTCTATCTCCCACTATTAGATTAGTTACTGTGTATTCTATCTCCCCTATTAGATTAGTTACTGTGTATTCTATCTCCCCTATTAGATTAGTTACTGTGTATTCTATCTCCCCTATTAGATTAGTTACTGTGTATTCTATCTCCCCTATTAGATTAGTTACTGTGTATTCTATCTCCCCTATTAGATTAGTTACTGTGTATTCTATCTCCCTATTAGATCAGTTACTGTGTATTCTATCTCCCCTATTAGATTAGTTACTGTGTATTCTATCTCCCCTATTATATCAGTTACTGTGTATTCTATCTCCCTATTAGATTAGTTACTGTGTATTCCATCTCCCCTATTAGATTAGTTACAGTGTATTCTATCTCCCCTATTAGATCAGTTACTGTGTATTCTATCTCCCCTATTAGATCAGTTACTGTGTATTCCATCTCCCTATTAGATTAGTTACTGTGTATTCTATCTCCCCCTATTAGATTAGTTACTGTGTATTCTATCTCCCCCTATTAGATCAGTTACTGTGTATTCTATCTCCCCTATTAGATTAGTTACTGTGTATTCTATCTCCCCTATTAGATTAGTTACTGTGTATTCTACCTCCCCTATTAGATTAGTTACTGTGTATTCTATCTCCCCTATTAGATTAGTTACTGTGTATTCTATCTCCCCTATTAGATCAGTTACTGTGTATTCTATCTCCCCTATTAGATTAGTTACTGTGTTTTCTATCTCCCCTATTAGATCAGTTACTGTGTATTCTATCTCCCCTATTAGATCAGTTACTGTGTATTCTATCTCCCTATTAGATTAGTTACTGTGTATTCTATCTCCCCTATTAGATCAGTTACTGTGTATTCTATCTCCCCCTATTAGATTAGTTCCTGTGTATTCCATCTCCCCTATTAGATTAGTTACTGTGTATTCTATCTCCCTATTAGATCAGTTACTGTGTATTCTATCTCCCCTATTAGATCAGTTACAGTGTATTCCATCTCCCCTATTAGATTAGTTACTGTGTATTCTATCTCCCCTATTAGATCAGTTACTGTGTATTCTATCTCCCCCTTTTAGATTAGTTACTGTGTATTCGATCTCCCTATTCGATCAGTTACTGTGTATTCTATTTCCCCTATTAGATTAGTTACTGTGTATTCTATCTCCCCTATTAGATCAGTTACAGTGTATTCTATCTCCCCTATTAGATTAGTTACAGTGTATTCTATCTCCCCTATTAGATTAGTTACTGTGTATTCTATCTCCCCTATTAGATTAGTTACTGTGTATTCTATCTCCCCTATTAGATTAGTTACTGTGTATTCTATCTCCCCTTTTAGATTAGTTACTGTGTATTCTATCTCCCTATTAGATCAGTTACTGTGTATTCTATCTCCCCTATTAGATCAGTTACTGTGCATTCTATCTCCCTATTAGATCAGTTACTGTGTATTCCATCTCCCCTATTAGATTAGTTACTGTGTATTCTATCTCCCTATTAGATCAGTTACTGTGTATTCTATCTCCCTATTAGATCAGTTACTGTGTATTCTATCTCCCCTATTAGATCAGTTACTGTGTATTCTATCTCCCCCTATTAGATTAGTGACCGTGTATTCTATCTCCCCTATTAGATTAGTTACTGTGTATTCTATCTCCCCTATTAGATTAGTTACTGTGTATTCTATCTCCCCTATTAGATTAGTTACTGTGTATTCCATCTCCCCTATTAGATTAGTTACTGTGTATTCTATCTCCCCTATTAGATTAGTAGATGTTTACTGTATTCTATCTCCCTATTAGATTAGTTACTGTATTCTATCTCCCCTATTAGATTAGTTTACTGTATTCTATCTCCCCTATTAGTTAGTTTACTGTGTATTCTATCTCCCCTATTAGATTAGTTACTGTATTCTATCTCCCCTATTAGATTTACTGTGTATTCTATCTTCCCTATTAGATTAGTTACTGTGTATTCTATCTCCCTATTAGATCAGTTACTGTGTATTCTATCTCCCCTATTAGATCAGTTACTGTGTATTCTATCTCCCCTATTAGATTAGTTACTGTGTATTCTATCTCCCCTATTAGATTAGTTACCGTGTATTCTATCTCCCCTATTAGATTAGTTACTGTGTATTCTATCTCCCCTATTAGATTAGTTACAGTGTATTCTATATCCCCTATTAGATTAGTTACTGTGTATTCTATCTCCCCTATTAGATTAGTTACCGTGTATTCTATCTCCCCTATTAGATTAGTTACAGTGTATTCTATCTCCCCTATTAGATTAGTTACTGTGTATTCCATCTCCCCTATTAGATTAGTTACCGTGTATTCTATCTCCCTATTAGATTAGTTACTGTGTATTCTATCTCCCCTATTAGATTAGTTACGGTGTATTCTATCTCCCCCTATTAGATCAGTTACGGTGTATTCTATCTCCCCCTATTAGATCAGTTACGGTGTATTCTATCTCCCCCTATTAGATCAGTTACGGTGTATTCTATCTCCCTATTAGATTAGTTACTGTGTATTCTATCTCCCCTATTAGATTAGTTACTGTGTATTCTATCTCCCCTATTAGATTAGTTACTGTGTATTCTATCTCCCCTATTAGATCAGTTACTGTGTATTCTATCTCCCTTTTAGATTAGTTACTGTCTATTCTATCTCCCTATTAGATCAGTTACTGTGTATTCTATCTCCCCTATTAGATTAGTTACTGTGTATTCCATCTCCCCTATTAGATCAGTTACTGTGTATTCTATCTCCCCTATTAGATTAGTTACTCTGTATTCTATCTCCCCTATTAGATTAGTTACTGTGTATTCTATCTCCCCTATTAGATTAGTTACTGTGTATTCTATCTCCCCTATTAGATTAGTTATTAATAAGGTATTTAGAGGGAGCTGGACAGGCAGGGTTTATAGCGGGGGATAGGTGTCCCTTAACTTATCCTTCCTGTAACTCTGTCAGTTCCTGAGAGATTATGGATCCTGGCACAGAGAGAGCAGGATCTCTGCCAGGTCTCACTGAGAATGAAAGAGGAAGGGAGGGGGTCACTTACACTGTGATAGCCTGCAGGGCCCCGGCTGGGGAGATCTCTGATCTCTGATCATCCAGGCCTCTGACTGCCTCAGGCCCTCTGTCCATGACTGATCTGCTCAAGTGGTCAGTCTACCCTGTCTGTTCTTAGAACACCCTATCTCTAAACAATAAAATAACAGCAATTCTTTGCTTGATTGATCTTCCTTTTTTTTTTGCTTCTTTTCCTTCCTGATCATCTCTTCCCTCCATGAAAGCTCTACATTGTATACAACACCTGGTGGCAATTTCACTCATTCTTTGTTTTTAACGTCATTGCTCAATTGAAGTTATTCCATTTTAGTGCAGTTTTCTGCTATTTAAAGAGGCACTCCAGTTATTGACACGTTAAGTGCAATTTGTAGGTTATAGTTTGTTTTGCTGAGTAGATATTTTAATCGTCTTTAGCTCAAAATATTGTGTTTTTATCCATAATTTATTCCATCCACTCTCTCTCATTCCTAACTTGCAGCATTTACTCATGTTTCCATTATTTTGTTTTTACTTCTTACCTTACAGTGTAGAAAGATGACTACAACTCCCAGAATCCCTTCCTTTTCACATGAAAATTATTTTTAAACACTCATTGTGGATATTAATACTGAGATCAACATCCAACATTTATTAGCTGTAATTCTTCTATTAGAAAGGATGTTTATTCAGAACAGGAGATTGGATCTAAATATCAAGTTATTTAAACAGTGTGAAACTATCATGGTTTAAAGGGACACTCAGGACCCCCAAATCACTTTAGCTTGCTGAAAAGCTTTATGTATGAAGAGTGTTTCATCTTATTTCATTTTACAAAAGTCCAGATTTCAACCGAAATTGTTATTTTTATAAATATTCACTTTGTTACATGCCTTTTGCGTTCAAGCAGACAACAAACAGTTCATGTCACTTCCTGACTGATTAGCTCAGTGGAGCTAAACTCAAGAGACAGCAATTGCCCAGAGCACCTGCCTTGTAAAGACTTCTCATTGAGCTGCATTGGAAATTCTGTGATTATTTTTTATATTAAAGGGACACTATAGTCACCAGAACAACTACAGCTTAATGTAGTTGTTCTGGTAAATATAGTCAGTCACTTTTGGCCTTTTGCAGTAAACACTGACT